AAATGTTAACAGCTACATCTGTCTTGGCTCAACTGATGCTCACTTCTCACCAATGCTTTTGTTGATATTTCTTTGTTTACTCTTAACTTGTTTCCTCCTTCTTCCCAACTCCTTAAAACAAAACTTTGCAAGAGTTTTCAATTCCAAGCTTGGAAGTGAACTTTTGACAGGCATCATGAAACAAAAACACACTGAATAAGTGTAGTTCGGAAGCCAACAATGAAAAAAACTCTCTCCCATTTCCACTGATATGAAGGGTTTTGTTTTTTGTTTTTCCCCTCTTCACTCTGCTCTGTGGCAACCTCTGTACATTGCAGCAAGAACTACTAAGCAAAGCTACTAACAAACCAGGAATTATTTTCAGTTTAAATTATTCTATGTTTAAATTGTGTGTATGTGTACACACACAAATACGTAAAAAATTAGTTCAATATTAAAAAAATAGAGTTGTCGTGTCTTTTCCATAGCAGCGTTTCCTGCCTCAGTGATAGTTACTTTAAGCATCAGAATTTCGTTAGTAACAATTGAAAACTCTACAGTGCTTGAGAAGAGGTCAATTCCATTTTATATGCCAGTGTCTATTGGCATATTTTCAGCTACAGTAGTCCAATTACACTTTAGCTAATATTTAGTAATTTTATGTTGCTTTGAATGCACACTGTGCAATCATTAATTAAATTCTAACCACCAGCAAGTAGATTTTTACCCTAATTTATTTCACAGATAAAGCAGAGAGGTGAGAAAATTTGCCAAATTTGCCACTTAGTCTTGGGCAGAGCCAGGACAATAACAGGGCAAGATTTGACTCCAAATTCACGGCTCCCAAGCCATGGCTATCCAATTTCTCAGTTCCTGTTCGATGGTTTCATTACTTCTCCTTACTCAGTGACTGCATGACAAAGAAATCCTTACAACATTACACAATAAAAAAAAAAAAAAAAAAGTTTTGACTGTCAGATCTAGTTTTGCTTTATCTACGCATCTACACCAAGTTCTCAACATTTTATTTGCCCTAAGATCCTACAAAAGAATCTTCAAAGACAGAAATGTTTCTGCAAGATCTACTTGAGATCTTGCAAGATCTACTATAGGAAAACTTTCCCATACTCAGCTTGCCCAAGTCTGCCTTTGAGTCTGCCTCCTTCCAAAGCTTCCCTTTGAGTCTGCCTCAAAGTTTTAAATGGGAATTACTGAGGTCTGAAACTTCCAAGTGCTGGACACACGCTTAACATAATGTGTTTTCCTCTGATATTTTGCATACTACCAACTCCCAAAGATGGGGCCCATTCAAAGACCGGAGCTCGCTACAGAAGCAGAAATACAGACAAAAGTACAAGATCCAGAGCTACAATGGTACATAACAGCGACCAAATCTGTCACCTCTTGGTCTTTTCACCTCATTGTTTGTTTGTCTCTGTTCATAATTTCCAATAAGACATGTCAAAATCCCTTCTTCCCTTCTTCCTGCTCTAAAATAGATGATGTTTTGGTGTGTGCATCTTACCTCTATGTCTTCAACACTCACTTCACAGTAGTCTCTTGTGAAGGACTGCCTCAAAGAAATGTGGAAAACTCACATCCCAGAACACTTACCTTCTATATTGTTTATATGCCAAAGTAGTTGTACAAATCAGAAAAGATGGATCTCTTCTTAGAAGCCCAATACAGTCTCTTTTCCCATGATTTTATTTTATTTTAATTTCTTCAAAAGACAGCAGCAAATACAGCACTAAACTCTAGTATGATAGGTTTCTCCTAACTCTCTCCTTTCTACTTTTTTAATCCCCCTCCATTTGCTATCCTTACCGGAATTAAATCAGGCTTAGTCTTACATTCTCATAATTATCTTTACTCCATAGGAGGAGTACAAACGGAGACAATTTCATACACTAGAAATCTGGAAATGCAGTGGCACACTATAAAACACGTTTTTTCTCTAATATAAAGTGATAATATTTTATTTTCTATATTATTTTTATATTTTATATGAATTTCATATTTAACGCTCTTTGTGTGAAAAAACATTTTAAGAACTGTCATTCCAATTAAGTTGCAATTACAGTAAYGATAAAAGAAAGTATTTTATATATTAAAATATATGAAAAGGTAATTCAAGTCATAAATACAACATTCTCATATGCTAATGCTCCCTTCTATTCTTTATCATTGCAAATATATAGATATAAAAATTCATACATACATATAAATTATATATATTTATATATATAAATATATAATTTATACATATAAATTTTTATATATATATAATATATATATATATAATATTATATATATTATATTATTATATAATTATATATATATATATATAATATTATATATATATATATATATTATATTATATATATATATATTATATATATATATATATAATATAATATTATATATATATTATATTATTATATAATATTATATATATATATATAATGGAGGTTTTGACCAACCAGTATAACAGCCATGTCTTTCTACTTGATTATGCATACTTTGGTGACATCATACACATGACTAGGAATTTAAATATCACCATCCCCATGTTGTTTTGTATGATTAATAATTGAACGTAATGACCTCCTACAGGCACCTTGAACTCTAAATCCACCTACCTAGGATTGGCAAGGATATCAGCACCTCTCTACATTATTAGATCTGCTGAATTTTATGTTCCATCTTCCAGAGCTTTTTCTTATCAGCTCTTCTTTATTTGTATTTCAAGCCTACAAAAGAATGATGGGGATATCTGAATAATGAAGTAGAGTGTTACTGAATAATAAACTACGGAGTGTTATAAAGTATCACAGCATCTAAATAACTTAATTCGCATCCTCAAAAAGAGATGCAACATCACATTTCTAAATCTATAAGCAAATTCACAGACAAACTCATATAACAATTTATCCTCTAAACACAAAGATTGATCTCAAGGACATTTTTGAGCAGAAATTTAATTTTAGAAGGCCTATAGGAACTCTGAATTCTCTACAGGCACAGCATAAACTTCAGGAAACTAAAGTTAAATACTACCCYGTTACCCAAAAATCCTTTGAAAGAAAGACTCATATTTTGCATCCCCAGCTCTGATGGACAGTCAGAGGGTCTTAATGAGTCCACAGAACCAACTTTCCCCCCCGCCCCCACATACACCTCCAGGTAGGCAACGAAATCCCAACCTTCTTCAGCTGCTTCAGCATGAAGAGCCATCACTTGCAAGGACCTGGATACCCTTTGAAAGGTGTTGTCCATCAACAGCAGATGTATGTGGTTACTTCAATKAGTATTTGCAGGGCACAGACTTTTGCTTGCATACAACTGGCTACATAAGGCATTAACKGCACTGACTACCTTACACTTCTTTCCTCTAATCTCCAAAACCAAAATGGAGGATGGTACAAGAGAGGAAAGCAGGTAGACTGCATGTGCATACACGGACATCACACCTCATGGATATGCCATTTGACTATTTGTATGCATATATAGGTGACCTGTAGATTTCCCCCAGCTCCCCAAGTTATAGTCCTCTACAGAGGCAGCTGGAGGCTCCAGAGAGGCCCTGTCCCAAAGACTGCCCTGTTAAACACTGCTGCAGTCTTCCTAACCCCTTCAGGATACAGCTGGAATTACAGATAACTACTTTGAAGAGCTCAGGACTCAAACATCACCACAGTTTCATGAGGTGTTCCAATCTGTAACCCCTTGGGGCATTCTCTAAATTGAAACAGTTATAGCTCAGTATTTTTCTAACACAGAGCAAGAAAGATGCATGGCATCTTTCTGAGCAAGTCATCTCATCAAGTAAAGTAAAGAGACAAGAGTGTACCTGACTGGCAGCCAGGTGAAAGCATTTTTAGTACCAAAAGATATAAAAGGAAAACAAAGAAATTAAAAAAAAAAAAAAAAAAAAAAAAAAAAAAAAAAAAAAAAAGCCTCAGGCAGATCTCACTACTTGCACAGAACTTGGAAATAACCTTAAGGAATGAATTTAGGATGAGTTTAGAAAATGCAAGGGCTGCCATTAGAGCCCACAAATTCTCCCATCTTCCACATAGATAAAAACTACCGCAATTTAATCACATAGGAAGCATCTTTTTATGCTGTTGCTGAAAAAAAAAAGTGGGTTCTCCTATTCCTGCCGATAGGAGAGGAAAATTAAAATAAAATAAAATAAAATAAAATAAAATAAAATAAAATAAAATAAAATAAAATAAAATAAAATAAAATAAAATAAAAGCCTCATCTGTTTCTGTGCACATCACATAACTCAAAACCAAGAAAGGGATGCTCGGGGAGCTCCCTCAAGCCCCTGGGATGGCGGCTCTTGCACGAGGCTCATATGCAAGGCGTCAGCCTGCAGCCGCCTTCACACAACCGTCACCGGGCTCGTGATGCCGCAGGCCTCGCCGGGAGGACGCCGGTGCCGCCACTGGCCTCTGCACCGGAGCCCCCACACACTTGATGGAAGCCCCGGCTCGGGCTCTCTGGCGCTCGCCTTCTCTCTTCAGAGATTACCTCAGGCTCGCAGCCCGCCGCCAGCAGACGCGCGTGCTTGCAGCCCACCACACGACGGCGAGCAACGTAGCCACCTTTCCCAGCGGCACGTAGCGCCTGACTGGAGCAGTCCCGCCACTGACGCCTGTAATAGGCTCCGGTGCCGATACCGACAGGGCTACAGGTGCCCGAGAGCCTCCCTAAGGTCAGTCAGGGACCACAAAGACATCAAGCGACTACTACAAAAGCTGCCGCCTAACGGTCGTCTAACGGCCGCCCAACGGTCGCCCGCGCGCCGCGAGCCACGCCCTCACCGCCCCCTGGAGGCGGAGCGTGAGGCGGGCGCCGCGCTGCGACCAATGGTGCGGAGGGAGCGCGGGGGGTTGTGGGGTGGGTAGTGCTGGCGGCGGCGGGCGCCGCGCAGAGCGGTAGCGCCGGAACTACCGGTCCCGGGGCGCCCCGCGCGGCGCCCTGACCCGGCGGCGCGAGGGGCGGGAGGCAGCGGCTGCGCCGGGCGCAGCAGGAAGGCGGCGGCTGAGGCGGCTCGGGGGCCTGGACGGCGGCGCGGCCATGAGCTCGGCCAGGGAGTCCCAGGCGCAGCACGGCCTCAAGCGGGCGGCCTCCCCCGATGTAAACGGGCGCAGCGCGGCGCGGGGGAGGGAGAGGAAGAGGAGGAGGAGGAGGAGGAGGAGGGGAGAAGGCCGCGAGGCCGCGGCTGGGCCCGGCCGCCATTTGGCGTGGGGGTGGTCTCGGCCGGGCCTGGGCGGAGCGGGGCCCTCGCGGCGCGGGCTGCGGGGCTGCCGGGAGGGCTCGCGGCCGGAGCGCGGGCCGCGGTGACGGTGGCGCTTCCCGCAGGGCTCGAGCAGCTGGGAGGCGGCGGACCTGGGCAACGAGGAGCGCAAGCAGAAGTTCCTGCGGCTCATGGGAGCGGCCAAGGTGAGGCGGCCCCGGCCCCGCGGCTCCCGCCGGGGCCTCCCGCTGCGGCTCCTTCCCCTGCGCGCCCCGGGCCTGCCTGGGCCCCGGCCGCTGGGGGAAACGGAGCTGAGACGTAGAAAAGGTTATACGTGCATGTGTAAATAACACAGCCTCGCCCGGGACTGGAAGTGGAGGSTTTTAACCCCTACAGCAGGGGGTGGTTAAAAAATAATAGTGGATTGCCCCTCGGGACTTAAAAATAACAGATAGCCAGATTATTTAAAGAAGAGATGCAGTAAATCAATTCTTGTGTCAGGCTTGCTGCACAAGATTGTCCAAAAATATAATGGACTTTTTTCTTTTTTCTTGCATGTAGAAAGGGTAACTTTGATATTGAAAGTCTATTTAAGTCACCCTGAAAAGGAAGATTTTTATCTCTTTCAGTTTACATTCCTAGAGAATTCTAAAGTGCTGTAATAAAAGGGTGGAAACTCAAACTTACTRGCAGATAGAAATGCAGCAGTGCCTTAAAACATCCCACTACAACCAACTGCAAGTCTACATGGATACTCACTGTGCCTGTTAGGCTGCGTCTTGCCCCTAGGGGTGTATCTGAAAAGCCTCCAGGAYGTAGCCAGCATAGTGATGAGCAGCATGGAGATCTTGCCTGATGCTGGGAACAGCCTCTAAACAGGATTGTGTACGTGTAAGCTGCAGAGGCTGAACATAGTATCAGAGAAATGGACCATGAGGTTAAACCGCCAGAATCTAAATTCACACACCTGCATGCTGTTTTGTAGTGCAGCTTTCATAGCRCATGATTGCTGTTCATTCTTATTTGTCTGACATACCAGTATGGTGTGATGACTTTCTCTTTAAAGAGGCAAAAAACAGGAAAGAAAATGGAACTAGTTCTGGGCAGGTGGGAAGAGTAAAAGAATATGTAATGGTTGGGGTTTCTTTTTGCAGATAATTCTTTTGTCTAAGACCACATTTGTTAGCTATTGAAACTTACTGTCTTACCGTTGGTTGTCAAGGTTTGACAGCAGACCTTTTCTGTTCCGAGATTTCCAGAATGTTGGCAGAGCTGTCAGTGCACCCTAAAGCTCCAAAACAAACTGCGTTTTCTTTTAGAAAGAACATACTGGCCGCCTTGTTATTGGAGACCACAGATCAACCTCTCACTTCAGGACAGGTCAGTTTTTCCAATAGCTGATACAGTGTTGGAAATTAAACACTTACAGGGTCTACAGACTTATAGGGTCTATAGTGCCTCAGTCTTGCTCTGCAAATGAACTAAAAATAGTATCTTGTTACTGTTGAGATCTTGGAGTGTTATCGTAAGTCTTCATCGTTGCCAGGTACGGCCATCCAAACCTCTAATATCCTTGTKTATGAGAGAAAACAAGGTTGATTTCCACTGCCCATCCCATCCCCAGTCCTTCTCTTAATTACTGAACAGATAATGATCTCTGCCTCACAGCAGCAAGGTAAAAGATACCTGCAAAAGTCCCTGCAAAGTTATCTTGGTAATTAGTAGTGAGTTGGTATCATGTAAGATATGACCACAGTAACTTAGTTCTTATCAAGTTTGCTTGGGTAATAAGTTAAAAGTACACTAAAGTCAACCTATGTCTTTGGCTACTTGAGAGAAGCTCTGATAAAGCTGTGAAAAACAGTAACTGCCACCATTCCAGAAAACTTCTTTCCCAATATCCCCCAATCCCCATATCAATATTAAAACAAACAAACAAAAACCTACCAGAGCAAAACTCTAGCAAAGSCTGAGGATCAGTTCCATATTCTGTAAGCTGCTGAGTGACTCACAATCATTTCCCTGTACCTAAGTTTTCTAGAAATGCAATGATGTTTCCTCTAAGGAGTCATAAATGCTCTTTACTACTTTGTTACTAGTAGAAGGTCAAGATGCTGCTTTTTCAGCAGCAGACTACCAGAGCAATTGCTTTCTTACTGTTTTTTTTTTCCCAGTATGTCTTTGTCCTTCTATCATAACACACAGCTCTGCTTTCCATTAAGCAAACATTAATTTGCAATACAAAGTTTCATTTTACAAAGGCACAAATTAAAAGTTAGTATTGTAAGCCTGAGGAGAAAAAAAATTGAGGTTCCTACCTCTGACAAGGTCAAGGAATTCTCGGCTATTCTAAGACCATTAACAATAAGCCCCTTTATTTACTTGCTGAAATATGTAGCAACAAAAGGCCTGTAAAGTTAGCCAATGTTGTGCTAACTAGACAAAAGAGCTGTAGCTACTCTTTCTGAAAATTCAAGATGCATAAAATAGTCCCCGATACAGCTCTAAAACGAGAGCACTGATATTGTCCTGACAGCTGCTTTAGAGCATGCGCTGTACAGCGAAGGCTGAAAGCTTTCTCTCTGCTGTGGCAAGTCATCAGTAGCAAGAAGCACAGAGAAGTTGTAATATTGAGGTTTTGCTTGTTAAGTAGAAATATATACCATGCATAGTACCTCTGTCTGAATGTGTCAAGTCTTAGTAACACACTGTCCGATCTTTTTATTAGAGCAACTTTACTGGCATCCTTTGCCTATAAACCTGGCRGTTTGCATGTAATTACATTAGTCAACTCTATAGTTTCCAAGCAGGCTAAATTTCAACTCTTTCACATATATAGCTGTGAACTTCAGAAGTCCGATGACTTTGTGTAATTGGATATCTTTGTTGATTTGAATGAACCATAACCAAAGTACCCTGGACATGCAGGGGAAGAAGACAAGAAAATGAATGAAGAACTAGAGTCTCAGTACCAGCAAAGCATGGACAGCACGATGTCTGGGCGGAACCGGCGCCACTGCGGACTCGGTTTCAATGAGGTACTAAGTTGTTCAGCCCCTTAATGATTTCTCCTGTGCTTCACTAGGACAAGGTGATACATGGCTTAAATGCTTAATGACCATGAGCAGCAGCAAACATAGACAATTTAGGTTAAGGCACAAACCTGCTGCATTCCTTTGAGCCCTATTTGTGTACACTGTGGTAACTATTTAAATGCCTTGAATGATTCATATTCTGAGAAGTGATATGACATGCATAATGCTCTATAGTAGTCAAGACAGGTTAGGACAGAAAGTAACAAATCTATTAAATCAGGCTCATGCCAGGGAATACATGAGAAGGTAAGGTGACCACCTACACTGTCACTGAGAGCTAAATAATTAATATTTTAGCTTCTTGTTGTGCATCTACCTCTCTATTGTACTTTCTAGAACACCAGAGGGGGACAGAGTAGGGAAATTAGCTGTACAAAGAGCCACAGTTGTTCATTAAGTTGCCACCTGACTGGTCACATAGCTACAAGTTATCCTAGGTGGATAAACAGGGGAAGTGTGAGGGTAAACAACAGAAAGAGGTTATTGGAAGCTACTTCACCTGCAAGTGGAAAGGTGCACTAATGATTTTTTTTCTAACTTGTAGCACTAACTACTGTAAAGAACATCAGCTAAATGTTTCCCAGTGGAGTAGAGGAAACTGTAGTGCCGGGAATTCACAGTATTATGAACAGAGAGGCTTTGTTCTTCGGGGCTATGAACAGCAATCCAKGTCAAGGCCATCCTTGGTGGCAGCAGTATCACTGGATGACTCTGCAGTATTCCAACCACTACCCTGTAATGTTGTGTGCTAAACTTACTTCCAAATATTAGTTGTGAATATGAATTTTTGAAGATATTGGCCCTTAGCTTCAGTATGTTTCATTTTGTAATAGATATTCAAAGTGACATGCCATCTATCATGTCAGCCACAGTAAAGAATTACTGAATTGATGGATTCTGAAACTCTTCAAATTAATGTAATGGTGTCTTAAGGATTTCTGTTGCAACTGCATGAAGGTGTGCCTGGCGACTCCATGGATGTTATATCTGGTACTGTTAAACACTCCACTGGAGTCGTTTTCTGTCTGATAATTTGTCCAAGAGCTGCGTTTAACAACACATCCCACACTTTAATATTAAAATGAAAGCCATTAAGCAAAATATTCTCACTGGACACTACAAGGAATCGCTAGTACATAATGGTTTATCTATCTCATAATCTGAATTTCTAGTTTCAGGATGGTGATGAACAAGAAGAAGGAGTTGGAGACTCCTCTGACCATGAGAGTTCAGAGGATTCTGAAAGTGGCTCWGAGTCTGAGCAAGAGGAATCTGCAGAAGAGCTACACACTGCTCAGAAACATGAGGAAGCTGAGGTTCCAGAAAACAAAAAAGAAGCAAAAAGCAATTACAAAATGATGTTTGTTAAAGCCAGTGGTTCATAACTGCAGATGTAACAGCTTTGTATTGAAAGTACAGTAAGCCTTATGGTTACAGTGCAAAGTGGAGGACTGCTACAGCACAAATCTTTGTATTATGATTTTAAGAAGACCCCGTTAGATGACAATAAGTAGTATTTGCTTTCAGTTGCCATGGATAACGTTTTTATGGGCACAGTGGTATTCCTGTTTTTGTAAAGTGTATAAAGTACTGGATGAAGAAATAAATTCTTTTTGTTTCTGCCCTATCTCTGATGTTATCTAAACAGTCTCTACCCTTGTTCCACGTCAGATCTTGTTAGTGGTTTCTTTTAAGGAATAGCCTAGTCTTGAAATTTAAATATAATWTTACATGTTAAGTACTGGATGTTTACTGTTGATGATTGGATGATTAGTTATAAACCAATATCACTCTATTCTGTGTTGTACTGTAGTTTTAAGCAGTGATTCTGTTTCTAGCTGCTCATCTTGACAGGGTTAACAACAGCAATCACTCAGCTGGTGATGATATTGCTGTGTTCATCTGAAGACCTATAGCAGTTGTAGGGTAAGGTTTTAGGAGATTTTAGAAATACGTTAATACAGCAAAAGACACTAGTTGCTGCTTCGAGTTYGTTGAAGTACTAACAAGGAACTGTACATTGAGCATAAGCTGTAGCTCTAAATATTTCTCACTAGAAAAGAGTCATTTTCTTCAAATTACTAGCTTGAAGACTGGCTTGAAGTTTGCCGCGTTAGGTTGATTTTAATAATTCCTCCTGAAAAAATTAGTTTTCTTGGACAGAAAAATATACTTTAATAAATAATCTAGCTTTTTAAAAGTAAGATAGAATTAAGTATGTAAGTCCTCCTTTCTTTCCTTACCACATATGCACCAATGGGATGTCTAGAATAAATTACTAAGAGGAGGTTCCACCCCTCAAGTTTATGTGCTTCAAAGGTTAAGAGTCCTCCTAACTGTCCCATTCTTCCACAACTGTGCAAGTTCTCATTGTAGTAAAGAACTAATAAAACAGCAAAACGTTGTCAAGTTGGCTGCTTCAGCATACAGACATCAATTGCCTCTCCTTGCTGAGAGAACCTCAGTGACCTCTGTACCTCAAGTACAACCTAATTCATCCACAACTGTGTTTTGAGAAGCTGGGGGGGGATCTTCCATTTCTGTACACAGTTTATGGTACACAGATAACATTCGCAGGTCAGCTTCTGGGAAAGCAGCATGTACTCTCATGTTAAAAGATGTACTGAACACAAACATGGTAGCATCAGTTATGAGGGGGGACTTGAACTTAGTTACATTTTGGRAAAAATAAAAGCAATAWYATTTTAAATAAAAGTTGACTGTACATATTGATTAAGGTAACCACGTGTTACAGTGCACACCAAAGTTTAGTCTTTTGTACTTCTCTCATGGATTTTTCTTATTTTCCTAATATTCCAGACTTCTAAAGCATATATTAAAAATATTGTTCTTKAACTGAAGAAACAGTTTGAGAGCTATACTCTATCTCCAAGAAAATGTAAAAGTATAAAAGGTGAAGAAGGGAGAGTCTGATTCAAAACCAGACTTAAGATTGATGGTAAGTTTCTTTGAGAGCATTTGTTTTGCAGAGAACAGTTTTAGTAAAGCCTTTAATACCTTCAAGACGTGGCTTTAGCAGAGGTTTGAGTTAAGAGCAGTGTGAAATCTGAAAAAAACCCCAGTGAGTAAGAATATGATACCTGTGTTACCACTTAAATGTGGGGGTTTTTTCCCCCTCAATTTAAAATTTCTAAAATAGTCTTAAACTCTTTTCTTAAAAAAAAAATGCAGAACAAAGTTATTGATCCAACRTAGTTTAAATCAGATTCATCCCTTGAAGACATGATAACGAAGTGAAGCYGTTCGGTCTCTTTCCCATTCCTTTCTCCCCTCCAAATTTTATATTCTAGTTGGTGTTAACAGGGGAGGGGGTGGTCAAGCTGATGCATTTTCTCTACAGATTGATACCAATTTTGTTCTAGTTAGGACAAAAGCTGTGCATGCATCAGCATTTCAGTTAAATACCTTTAACCATGATTGCTGTTCTATTATTTCTTGGAATGCAATTATAAAATGAAGGTTTTGGCAGAAAGAGCTGCCATACACTGACCCCTCTGCCTTCTCCATCTCAGCAGTGAAGGGACTGCTGCTCTCCCAACCCTCCTCGCTGCTCAGACAGCCTCAGCGCGCATCTAAACCAGGATTCCCACTTCCAAACTTGACATAACGGCTTTGGTCATTGCAGAAATGAGCTGCACGACAGGGGCCTYGCTGCCCTTCCACAAGCTTCCCTCTAGGGAAGGGCAAGAAAGAACCTGACTGGGTGGCTTTTCTGCCCAGTGCAGCSGCCCTGGGAAGGCACAGGAAAAGCAGACCCACCTGGCAGTCAGTGCATGGGTCTTCGCCCCACAGAAGGGGCTACCACCACTTCCTCTCTGCCCTGATCTGATCACAGCCTCTTGTCTTTGTCAAGGGATTTGGCCTTTTGTCTGAAATAGAAAGTAACAGATAAAAAGTWGGATAAAAAGAAAACTGAAATTAAACTATTCTTGGAGCAGCTCTTACCAGAACAAGTCAAAACAGTGTAACTTCCATTCCCCAAATACATGACACTACTCTGAATAGCTGAGGAGGTTTAGTCAACTGATCTCTGATGCTCAACTAAAACCAATCTCAGAATAAGAAAATAAAATCTACATAATCATATCTGCTTCTGTGTAACATTCAGAAATGGACTACCAAGATCCACAAAGCAGTCTCTGTCCAGGACATTTCTTCATGCATGCATGAAAAGGTGAACTGAGTTCTACAGATTCTGAAATTAATTCAGGAATCAGTTTTACCAGTATTTGGCATAATAGCTCCAAGCATTAGTGGAATGGATAAAAGCAGAATTAATACAGCTCTCATTTACTGGAGACAGAGAACACAGAGGACAACCAAGGCTGCTCTCAGCTGATTCTGTTGCTAGTTCTGTTCTTTTCAGGTTGACAAAGATGCCACCAGAGGTGACAGCAGAAAATTAAGGAGAGGAATTGGAAAGAAAAAACTGTTTTTGTCTTTTCAGACAAGATTTGGCCACTGAAACTCCTCAACTTGGTGACCAGTTCACTTCCATCTCAACAAGAAAGGCAGAAGTCTGATCACACTTGCTTCTATACGCCTTTGGAAACAACTGATACGAGACAGATTGATCAAGGAAAGGCCTTGTGTAAGTTTTCACCTGTTTCTAAACCCTGCAAGTGATATTTATCTTGACCTACACAAAGATTAATACATTATAAGCATTAGCTAATACTTTCCAAATGCTCCCAAAGCATTTGGCTTTGGAAGATGGAAAGCACTTGATCGAGCATGTGTATGTTTGTGCCCTTGCATTTCCCTGGAGAACAAGGCAAGAAGAGAACCACTGCAACCCACGAGTCCTGCGGTGACAGGAGAGGACGCTTCTATGCCAGGTAAAAGGGATGCTTCTTTCTTACCATGAGGCATACACGAGTTTTTGAGGCCAAGGAAACTGATCTATAAGGTGCCCCATACCTTTATGCAGCTGCTTTACAGTTTACGTTCTCTTTTTATCCTGAAGAGGAAGCTGACAACTTGATTCCCGAAAGCACAATTTATAGGCTAGCTTCAAAGCTATAGGTCCTTCTAAGGCTCTGGTTGGGGAATTCACATCAAACATGATGTGCACGTGTTGTTCTGATGTCAGAGCGGATGTTGGTAGAAACCTCTGTGGATTTACTACAGTCCCCAGAACAAGGATTAAATTATGCACTGAAGCTGCCTCTGTAAACTGCAGGAGACAAAGAGAAGAAGTGGCAGTACAATATCCCATAATCAAAGTCTGGCACAGTCATTTGCATCAGTTTCTCAGAAGCTGTCAGGGGATTAAGGAACATCTGTACAGCCACTCATGGCGCAAAGAGCACGTTGGGTTTGTTTATGTTTGTTCTTCAGACTGCCACCCAAGCTACCTTTTTCCTGAGAAAAATATTGAAGTAGTACAAAGGTGTCCACTCATGATGGACAGCTAAAAGTTTCCTCAGCTTTTGCACAACACTAAAGAAACACTCAAACACTCACTGATTTGACTTGTTTTTCAAGTACAGGTGCAGAATAGCCTCATACCAACAGTCTGTGCTATTATCTATTGAACTCCATTATTACTTAAGATGTCCATAGCTCAAAAAGATCTAGTTGAGGAGAGAAAATAAAAAAAAAAAGTAACAGATGACAAAAGCTTTTTTATCATCAGTCAAGTTAATGGGGCTCATCTAAATAAAACTTACTTATTTCAGCTTCTTTCCAATTGCCCATCTTGATCAGCAGCAAAATCTCATTAAACCACTCTCACAGTGGTCAAAGACATAGGGTCTTTGASAGATTTTCAGGTATGTTTATCGGAAGTGAGCTGTGAGCTTTTTAAATTGGTGAATCAAATCACATTAAAGACCACTGAAAAAGTTCAACAAACTTGTAACGAAGCACCTCCAACTACTTCATTTCATTAAGGTTACATCTTGCATAACTTATCAAATTGGGGCTTCAAAAAACCCCTCAAAACCCCTCAGGTATCTCAAAAGATGAATTCRAAAATGATGTAAGAGCTTTTCTCAGCTGTGGCATTAGAGAGACAGTCTAGCCAGCCCCAAAGCCCTCACAGCACAGCAAAACTGASGCAAGAGACTGGAGCCACCCTGGGCTCCCAGGAAAGCTGTTTCCTTGGAAAAAGAGGGCTTTACTGATACTAGCTATTCCTAGCTGGAATAAAGAATTAAAAATTACTTGAAAGCACAGAGAAACATCAGCACACGACAAAGACAAGAGTTCCTACTATACTCAGAGTCATTAGTCATCTCTYTGTCCTCTGGCACCATCAATACTTCTGCTTGCATTTATCCCATTCACAGAGTATTTTTTGTACTAGGATTGGGATTCACATTCTCTCCTCACACATTCCAGCTCCTTCAATCTTTTTACAATTACCTTATTTTAAATTACTAGACTGCTCTCCACCCTCACCCCCATCTTACTCCCGGTTGCAGATACATCACTGCATTTACCTTAAAAACCCACTACTCACCTTTGTCTTCCTAATCTCTTCCTTCCTTAGGTACTTTCTTATGCTATAGCTTCTGATAAAGAGCTTCTCCTAGCAGGTAACAAGAAAACACTGTTGTCCTTCAAGCTTGCATAACAGTTTACAGTTTTTGTAGTTGCTCAGTAAATGATGTCCACATGTTTTAACTTTCTTTTCTGGAGGCTGTTGATTTCCCCAGGGCAACAAGAAACATGATACTATTAGGTTAACGCCAGGTAAACAGTACACAAACGGGCTATTCCATATGCAATGCTTTCTGGTTTGATTTTGTTTTATAGTTAACACTCAAAATTCTTCTGTCATCTCTCTGGAATTTTATGGTAGGTTTTAAAATTTTACCTTCCTGCTAGGGTTACCTGTAGAGCTTAACATTCAAAATACAGCTGTGGCACAGAATACCTTAACAGACGTGTATTAAAAATGCTCTTTAAAATTCCCAAGCTTTGAACTAGAGAAATCTCTCAAAAAGTTTTCATGGAAAGTTCATCTCAGTTGGTTCAATTCAGCTCCAGTTAGATGCACCTTTTCAAATAATAGAAAAAAATGCAACGAGGTCAGACCCAATCAATACAGTTGTTCAAACAGAATTTCAGGCACTGTGATGTGTGCACATTTTGTGCTCTTTCTTTGTACTGCTCCACTATGAAGAAAGGTTGCTTTTGCTAGTAGAGCAATAAAAGTCTTAGCCTTTTGAATACAGCCAAATAATCAACGGGGATGTTTACCAGGTTTGGAAAATACAGCAATTTTTTATGTCTTTGCTGAGCACGTCTTTGTTCATTTTATAACTATGCAATACATACAAACATGTTGCACAAGCCAGTACTTTTAAATGCCCAGACATAAATCAGATGAGTAAAGCATCAAAAAGATCATGCCTTGGTTATCTTCAAAGTTTTGAGACTAAATAAATCCAGTTTTTCCTTCATATAGCACCCAGAAATTAACTGCTGTGACACATGTGACATTGGAAATTTTATAGAGAAGCACAGATACTGATATAATATTATCTATATACTTTAAGATTYGGAAATTAGTTAATTAAATGGTGCAGGTGCAAAACCAACTCTGTAAGCCGTACYGAAACGTGCTGGGAGTACTCACTTCCCCCAAACACCAACCCTTCCTAAGGCTGCAGGCTACTCGAGAGCACCTCACTTGACCCTTGACAAGGTTTTTGAAACAGCAGCTCAGATCTGGTAACATCTTTCAGAAAAATGTGGGGAAGTGGAAAGGCTTCATGCAAGTTCAAAGATGTTAAAGCAGTGCTATACATGAACATTAGGCTGTCGTTTCAAAATTCATCGATGCTATAAAATTTTCATAGCCTTAATGCAACAAACTGAAAATACAGTCCAGTGTAAAAAGAGAGAATTCAACCTATACAATGTTTGCTTGGTATAACATCACACAACACTATGCAAGAACTACTACTGCGCTCTAGTATATTCCTCCTTCTTTTAGAGTCACAAATACTTACGTTGTTTAACAGAAGGGAAAAAAATGCTACTTTCTGACAGAAAACAGATTGATCAATGCTTTACTCTTCTAGCACACATTATATTTTTCTAACCTTGATAATAGGGCAGTGGTGTGTTACACCTACAAATCAACATTTTGATTACAAGGAAATCAGCCTAAAACAAACTCTTTTATCTTCAAACAATTACAGCTAATTTTCAGTTGTACACATCCAGGCCTGCAAAAAGATGGTCACTGGAGAAGAGGATTACACACATTCCAGAAAATATTTTAGACAAAATTCCTTTCTTTTTTTTCTTCTCAGTATAAGGGATTAATTACGAACACAGACATTTCATTTACCCTAGATCAAAATGACGTTTCTTCCCAAAATAAGTTACTCTTTAGTACTAACTTCAGCAAAAGTTAAATGACCAAGAAGGTGCCAGATAACAAGTCAGACGTGAGACATAAGACAGTAATGACAGTATTGTTGCAGCACTATTAAAGACGCAACTCTGAAAAATCTCTGTTTAAGAATAAATATAGATTTTATCAGTTGCCATGATATACTTAGAGAAAAAAAAAWAAAAGAAGGAAGCTTGGTCTAAGTCCTATTGACATCGGGGATGTGAGCCAAAGCAGCACAAAATGCTAGAACAGCCCAAAACTCGAGAATTTTAAATATATGACCCTTATAAATACATGAATGACCCTTTAAATATATGAATGATAATTAGAAAGACAGAGGCAAAAGGGAGTTATGTTAATATTTTAATCTGTACATAGACCATTTTCCAAACTGTTACATTTTATTTAAATTAATGTTTTCTTGCAAAATATTTATTTTTCCAAACTTTTTATAAAGGCAAAAATAAATCATTATTTTGGCAAAATGTTTCGAAGTTGATACTGGCAGTATTGAGGTAAAATAGATTGCATTAGCTAAATATATACTTTTAAGAATATTTCTGAGTATAGTGTTAATATAATATGATTCATCTTACAGTATGAAACTTGAAAATCAATCAATTCCAAGGGTTTTGTAACTATTATTTGAATACAGCAAATAAACATTCTTCCTAAAATACTGCAGGAGTATTTCTCAGACATTCTTATTCAGAGCTGAACTCAACTAATAATTACATATTATTATTGGACAATTTCTTGCATTCAGTGGGTCCATTTTTTTCAAGTAAAGGAATCTCAGCAATTCATTTAATTTCATTTTCCCCCCATGTAACCACCTCACTCTTTGCCCTAAACATAAGCAGAACACTGTATATGAAAGTTTGGCAAAGTCAAGCACCACTGAGTTTACGCACAAAATTAGCAGGTGCCACATTACATTAGCTTTGCTGTTTCCTGGATAAATACTAGTTAATACACCTCATATTCCATTATTGAAAAAAAATCAGAAGAAAAAATATATATTTACTAGTAAAATGATATATGCTATTACATTTATTGCTTRCTTCACATACTTTAATTAAAGTTTTTTCTTCCACATCTCAACTTTTATGAAAAAATATAATTTGTTAGCTGTTTATTACTGAGGGGACAGCATTACTGTCAGAGCAGCGTAACACACTGTATGTTGACAATGGCAAGTTCCTCATTCAGGATCAAAAAGGAAGCTGAGTTAAAACCAAGTGTCCTCATGCCCTTCGCAGACCATTTTAGCTAGTCGGGATTAGTGACATGCAGAAACACAGGCTAGAAGCTACTTGCAAGGAACCCTTTAACGGACATGAGAGCGAGTGATTAACTCCAGAACACATCCCTCGCGAGCAACTCTGGCAGTGAACCTCTGGACAGAGTTAGCTTTACCCACATGCTATGGAAGTGCTTCTAGCATGGTTCAATTTGCATTTCTTCATGCAACTTGACATTGTGTATCTAAGCCTGAGGGGGGAGTAACAGCATCTTGTAACATTTATGTAAGTAGTTCCTCTTGAAATGAATTCAGCCCTTGATTAAAAAAATCTAAAATATATTCTGTCCTAAAAATACACTGTCAGTATCTTACAGAGTTTGTTAAAAGTGCCATTTATTCATATAAAAAGTCTGAACTAAACTGAAGTCAAAATAAAGYGATATGCAACTTGCTTAGTTTTCACAGAAAATCCCCCTTTTCTTCTCAGAGTATGTGTTCACAGGAACGCGTGGTGGTCGGCTGCTGAGTTTCTCCACAGAAAGCTGGGCAAGGGCTTTTCTTCCTTCCATGTGGCATTGCTAGGTGGGTTTCGCTTTGAGGCTTATGTCAATGCTCAATTACTGCTTTGGCTGGTACAAAGTAAAATGAAACRTGGTTAAAAACTGAGGGGAGCCCTACTAAGGCTGAGTAACAAGCACTGGCAGGAAACGTGCTTTGCGTTAACTCCTTCTGCAATTGCCAGGACAAARCTAATACAGACACATCAAGGAACAGCTATTACACGATGCCACGGAGCTAACACCCAAACTACTGCCCCTCTTGCTTATTGCTATAGCTGCTGCCGTTTTTCCTTGACACTTTTCCTGAAGAAAATCTAGTAGGATTTATAATATACATGTATATCTACATATCTATATACATATATRCATATGTATATAGACATACTTAAGGGCAAGAAAATTATATTTAATAAAGCCTCTGTTCTATTCGAAATGGCAAAACAGCGACAATGGCATTCTTCTGTTAACATAATTCAGTGAAAAAAAATATTGAACCCATAAACAAAGAAAATATTGCAAAATTAGTTAAAGGGCTAAATTTTTAGCTCACCTTAAAGAAGCCTCAAGTRTTAGTTCAAGCATAAGGTATTGGCCCTAAGAGAAATGCCTGCTTGCAATGACTTTCATTCACTGACATGTCAGATGCTCCTGGGCAYGGGCAGAGGTCCCTACACACCCTTACTCTGGCCACAGCAGTGCCGAGTCTAGTGATGCAAGTACCAACTGCTGCTGAGAATCTGGCCCCAAACTACCAGCAGTAAAGATGCCTCCCTCCCTCCCTCCCATGCACTCTGGAGCAGGATCTTTTCTGTAAAGCCATGGTGGTTACTTGAGACTTTATTAGCTCACGTGTTAGCTCATTAGAAGCGGTATTTACTACACACTAACAACATTTCCTGGTTTCTGAAAAACACACGCATGCATACATTTGGATCTAATTTAGGGCTAGTAAGACATGTTAAAATTCAGCAAGTCACAGCAAAGATACAACGGCAAATCAGAYATGCCAAGAGCAGTTAGTTCTTACTTTTAAGGTGTTTAGACAAATGTGTAGTGAAATCCATTGCTTAAGGGAGAGTGAGGTGGTTGTGGTACAGAAGGTGAGGGTGCTTTAGATGGATAGGTCAACTGATGAGCTAGAAGGGATCACACACAGGAATTAGGCAGCACAATCAAACATACATATTAAAACACAGCCACCCTAATTTTTATAACCACACAGGAAACCTGATTAGTAATGCAAGAGGTGATACACTGTTTTAGTTACATGGAAAACAATTTAAACAACAACATTTCCACCAGCTCTTTTCTCCCCTCATCAGTTGCATTAAATTGTGAAAAAAAMCATTCTGATTCGGACGAGAAATAGGCAACCTATATTAAGATGAAGTTTTACTGGAACATTAAGGCACACAAAACTGATATACCCTAATGAAACTCTGCTTTTAAATGTGGAAATTCTGAAATAGCACCTGTATTTGCTAGTTTTGTTTCAACGTTTCTCTAAGCTACAGGTTTTCAGTATTTCCTTTAATAACAATACCAATAAACAGAAATAAAGATGATATATAGGAAACCACAAGATTAAGAAATCATTTAAAATGTATGTAATGTTACTTAATACAGTGTATGATACAATAAACACATCTTACTTAAGCATGAAATTACAGAATAAAGAGTATAACAGAGCAATGAAAAAGTTATCATAGCATCCTAAAGTGTATCAATGGCTTCAAAAAAAAAAAAAAAAGCGGGGGAAGTAAAGTTTCAATCTTTTCGTACAAAATCTGGGCATTTAGTTTTGGATTTCAGATATAGTCTGCTTGGTCAGTAAAGGGACATGTTGAGAAACCAAACTTTAAAAATCAAACTATAACAATGTGAATGAATTTACTGATCTGTAAAATTAGAATAAATGGGAAYGCACAATTAGCTGTGCAAATCAGCACATGATTTTTCTCTTAATCACTTCAGATCACCATAAAATGCCTGGTGTCCCATTGTTATTAAAACACACTACATGTGCTTCTTTTAGAACTCCCTGAGTATTTTTTTTTTAAGGAAAAATAATAATTGAAATCTAAGCAAGACATATTGAAAGAGATGATTATTTTGGATGTAAATGTTGCATGGRAAACTTGCGTGAAAACATGTGTGCCTGGAGGTAGATGTATGAAATTCTATAGTTGATTAAGTCCTTAGGAAATATCTGCATTTTTGAAGTGTCTAAAAAGACTAAAGAACTGTTGAACTTCATAAAAACATTATTTAAAAAGATGACCACAAAYGTATTTTTCATATATTCAGATACTGCAAATCGTACCAATGAAGTCCACATGAAGTCTGTGCCATGTGGCAGGGACCAAGTAAGCAACGGTTTACCCCTGCTAATCTTTGCTTCTCTGTCACCTTTTCGCAGAAGCAGCTAGAACTCGCATGGGAAAGACTGGATTCCTCCTGGGACGAAGTCCCACGCAAAACCCAAGCCASTGCCAGTGCTTAAATGCCCTGCTCATTAACAGGAGAGCCAGACTGAGGGCCAAGAAGCAGTTCCTTTGCACAGAGGCCTCTGGATCCAAAAGGCCGTTGCTGAAATCCTCCCAAGACCTCACCATTCTGTTCCTTTCTAATGTTCAGGTCGTTAGGCACGTAAGCCAAAAGGAAGCCGGAATGGTTTCTGTATCTTTATTTAACACACAAGAAAAATTCCACTCTTAATGGAAGCTGAACTTTGGTCTTTGTAAAAGGCGCTGAAACTAAACACAACAGAACACTTTCCCCACCTTCCATGCATTTCTACTCTATTCTACTTCATCTGTGAATCATTTTATTCTTTTCAATGAGAAAATTACCCATAGAATCTCTCCAAACTCTCAARATTGTAACTTGAGAATATATTTCATCTCCTCAAAATCACATTYCTCTCTGGTTTAGCTGCTATGGCACCCTTGATGCAGCCACATTCAATTGACAGTCTGTTACTATAATGTAGGCTACATATCTGGACACTGGAATAAGCTGTCTTTAATAGAAAGGTCCTCACGGTTTCTGTGGCAAGTGCTGTAAGCTTCAACTGACAACTTCAGGTGAGAAATGAGCATATTTTTTCTCCATCAGCTTATGTTCCCATCATTTCTATTCTGCGCTGCAACAGTGAACTGTGCCAGTTACAAATGACAAGTCAGACCCTTGCTAACATTAGCTGCTGTGTGTTCGCTGTCACGTGTGATACAACTTGGCTCATGTTTCTTGTATGTCAACTATAAAGCAAGAGTGAAATGATCATTTTTTAGAAAAAATATTGTAAAGGATCTTCTATTTTGCAGCACTGAACAGAACTACTGCACAGATGTTTGACCTCTCACCTTGTTCACCAGACACCCATTTTACAACGTCTTTTTGGGCCCACTGTCATACAGTTCAAACTCCAAATCAATTTATTTATTATTTAGCCCCATTAGGAACAGCTGACTTCCAAGGTATGTACTTTTGATCATATATTCTCCCCTTTGTCCTTGCCACTGACAGCCAGATACTTAAACCTCTCCATCTTTAACCAACACATCTTTAACTTCTCTAGATTTGGCATCTATAGACATAATGCATTGTTTTGAATAACACAACACTTTCTTATGCCAGCAGCTTAGCAGCACCCCCACACAACTGCAGAAGCAGGTAAAAATAGCTGTTATTTTGTAAATAAGTATTACCTGCTACCTCCTTGCTCTTCTGAGAGGCTTCAGAAGCCAAAGCGTATGATATGGTAATGATGCGTTCCTGCTCTTGCAACTGTGAATCTAAATCAACTGAGTTGTGCTTGTCCTGGGCAAGAGTAGGCTGTAGATTGTGCATACTAGTGGGAAAGTGCAAAACAACATTAACATTTACAACCATAAAGAATAATCCACTGTGCACATGAAAAGAGAGCTCAAGTTCATACAGTAGTTTCAAAACCCACATATGAAGTTGCAAATTGCAATGAAGTTCTTTAAAATGACATTTGATACACTAAATAAACAACTACAGCACACAAAGACAAATGATGCAGCCATTGCACATTCACTATTTGTGCATCTCCTTAAAGATATTTGAAAATCGTTTGTTGTAAATAGGCTGTTTACAAGAAAGTTATTTACTTGAAAAGTTAATAATTAAAATTCTTGTTTGTGCCCAGAGAAAGAAGCACAATCTGACAGTCCTCAGGTACAGTCTCATTAACAATCCTACAAAAAGAAAGCGGACATATGCATCAACGCTGCTCTTCTCTTTTCTATCTGGTTTTAAAAGGCAGCACATCAAGCATGTTACTAAATAAATTCTGCCTGAGTTTTCTACACATCACAAAATATTACACTTAGCTAACTGAATTAGAAATGATCTGTTGTAATAAGCTGCTTTCCACTATTTAATATCACCCCCTATAGCGGATTTGAAAAATAACTGACCTTGATTTAGTAAGAATATTCTTTATCTTTTCTGCTTTACGCTGCCTTGCTGCCAGCTCTTCCACAGAAAGAGGTTCTTCTGGCTCCAGCTCAACATAGCGCTCTGGAATTGCCACCTTCTCGGGTTTTGACAACTGTGGAAACAAAACAAGCATCAAGCTTTTAATAAGAAGGACACAATACAGCAAACAGACAAAAGCAAAGGGAAACATGGAAAGATGCTGAATACTTTTTTTCCATTTCTGAAGTTTGCCTGAACACTGAATTCTTTGTGAAACTTTAATATAAAAATTAACAGAAAAGTGCACTCATATGTGGAGATCAAAAGATAATGGCTCATGGGTGCATTGAGAAGGTCTTATTTTAAATATCCCTTTATATAAAACAATACGCTGACAACAAATTTCAGAGTATGTTCAACAAGTCTAGACATCTTTAATTTACTGAATTTGTATTTGCTGTGGCATTTTACACATTACATATATGCATTTAAATCTTGCTATATGCTTTCCTTTCCACCAGATGGCTCAATAGCATTCCAAAAAAATGCCTTTTGAGCTAGAGCTACAAATAAAATCTAGTGCCCAGAGTACCAACCAAGTCACTTGGAAACTCAACAGAATGGCCTCTTTTCTCCTGGTCAGCATAATGCAGTACTCACTCTTATCCATTATATTTTGTGACAATGACATGAAGACTAAAGTGGCTCTGTGGAACTGCTACTTCTTCTATTTCTTAAGTACTTTTGTTGATTTACATAACTGTAAATATTTACATACACAGCATATGAACATATGTATGTAAATATTTACATACACCGATTCTGATTTACATAACACTACCCTATTTAATCATTTTTCCCCTATAAAGTCCTTCATTTTGAAGAGCCAACCTTTTGGTTTTTTCCTTTCCTCTGAGACACACTACTTGCACAAGCAGTACACAAGCTTTTAGCACAAGCTGATAAACATGCCTTGTTTTCAATACCTAAAAGCCTCCTTCCTTCCAGTTAGGCCTTCCAGCTAACTTGGGACACAAAGGATTAACATTCATTAGCTACAGATCAGGAAGGCTGGTATTTTGGAATACAAAACAAGCAGCAATAGAGTCTGAGCATTACCTCTCTGCTGATATCTAAATCATAATCTTGAGGCTCCAGGTCTGTTTCTGTTACTGCCACTGGCTGAACTTTCAACCAGCTGTTTTCATCCTTGTCTTCTCCACGAACTACTCTCTCCAGTAACTGCAAATCAAATTCTTGCTCTCGTTTCCACTAGTAACAGATACAAAAGAATTAACAGCATTCAACCACACTGACAAACGCACTACTTAGCAATGTTTACAACTACTGCTGTCAATGTTATACTGCTGACAGATTCTACAAAGTAAAACTAGTAACCGATGCGAAGAGCGAAACAACTCTCATCTTGGAACATTTGGTTTTAGATTTCATGTCTGTTGTGCTGCATGCATTTCTAAGGGTAGATTAATTCTACAGGCAACAGTTCAGTAGTATTAAATCCTAACAAATGTATTTGTCTTGATTTCACATAAGCTCATTTATAAGGCTTACACGTAAGCTTCAGTGGAAGCGCAGATGTCCATATCAGTGAGTAGAGGAACTGACAGTCCTAGGTCTCCTGACGAAACCACACGGGGTAATTTGAATTGCTGGACCGAATGGCCACTTACGCTGCAGGGCGTACAAGTTGCAAGAATTTCAACTTATACATTTTATGCAACTTCCTAGAAAAATACTTAGTAGCTACTGCTGATAATATTTTAGATATTACTATTAACTTCTCTTGAAATTGAAAATAGCGGTAACTTAAAATATCTAAGGCTTCACTAAAAGCATTTTTTTTTCAAAGCTCTATATTCCTAGGGTAAATACTTATCATTAATAAAATGAGAACGTATTTATATTAAATAGCATAATTTAAGAGTTCTCTGTTCCTAATGCTTGAATAGCTCCTTCACAGCTATGTACATAATACAGATGACACCTAAGAGCACTACCAATATATTTTTGCTTATAAATGGCAAGAAAAAAGTTCAATTGCAGCATTACTCTACCCAGCAGTTTTCATCAAATTTAGCAAAGTTTAAACTTGATATTAAAAGTAGCAGAAAAAAAGTGGACAGAAGACCTAAAAGCATCTATCTCCTCCAGTGTTTGACAGTACCAGTAGGAGAACATGCTGTAGTAGATCTGTCATTTATATTATAAATCTATCTCATTTTCACCAAAGATTGAACTCCACATGAAGTTCTTAGAATCCACCAAGTTATTAGTATCTACCTGAAACCTATTCATGCACAAGCTCTCAATATTCACTCAGAAGATACATATCTTCTATTTATATCAAAAATAATGAGCACCTAAAAAGGTAACTACATCTCAAAAAAGAGATGTTTCTTTTTAGAATTCAGAAGAGAAAAAATATTTTCTCGTACTAGTTCTTCAAACTCATTCTACTCACATTTGAACCAGGCCTGATTGACATGCTGTATTTTAAATACACAGTATTATTTTCAAGTTATTATATATAAGAAAAACATCAAACCATTATTATGAAGCAATATTTTTATTGGCTTTGATGTTGCAACTTTTACATTAAAAAGGCATTTTATATAACAAATGAATTCATGTACTGTGATCAGTATTTTAAATGCCATACTATCCTAGAGACTTGACTGATTAAAAATTGAGAGTTACACACACAATGCATGTTTAAAGCAACCGTTACATACTGAGCAGCACTTCAATTATACATTTAACTGTTCACCGTTTTGGCTGCTAAATAACTGTAATGCTATAAGTAATTGTGCTATGAAACATGCCTGTTGTGTGTTGAAGCCCTATACACACACGAGATGATCATTACAAAACATTTCAAGGGCTAAAAGATTAATTCAAGTCTTTACAGCAACAAAAAGTCCCAGATGGCACTCAAATTTATAGATAAAATGTTTGCCATGGATGCTAATATGGAGTCTTACAAAAACATTTAAATTAGACTTGTGTATGTTAGAACCATGAAACATTAGAAGTTCAGGTTTAGTTCTTCTAATTAAAATCTGAAAATAACAGCGATTCCCAAAATACTATGGACTATCTTGAATAAAATTGTGATCACACAACAGAAGACAAGAGATCAGTATCTCCAAGTAGCGCATTCCTATTCACTGGGAAAGTGAATACAGGTTAGCTGGAGATTAGSTGTTTCTAAGAAATGGGAATGAAAGACTGAATATTATAGGGGCGAGGGTTTAAAAGCTAGCAACATGTACTAAATGCAATTAAGCCTGGTAAAAATTGAGTAGTTAGAAATTTTAAAATAACTACAAATTCTGCAAATTAAAAATAACAAACAAAAAACAACAAAAAAGACACATTAGGCATGATGAGTGACAAATCTAAAAGCAAGAGATCTTGTGCAATGAATTAGGTAAAATAAGGTGATCATTCTAAAGCTCTAGTGGACCAAATAAAAAATAAATAAATTAAAAGACCACAGCGTAAGTGCAATTACAGTACAATCTTGGTTTAGCACCAAGGGAGCAATTGGGCAACTTCTCTAATTAGAATTGCTTTGGTTAGTATCCATAATGTATCATTACAAACTTATATTCTGCATAGCATCATCTCAGAACGCAACAAAAGTCCTTTTCTTCATCGACTTCAAGTTGAGCCTTAGTAGAATATTCTACATTTTGATCTTTAAAGCCAAATGGATAATTAGAACACATTCGCCCTTACATAAGTTTCTAACAAAAGTGATTAGATTTTAAAACACATCATCCATTTATCAAATCTAAAACCAAAACCAAACCAGCAACTGAACACAACTCTCCATCTTTGTCTTATATTACCCCATCTATCTCACAACCTAATTTAAAAACTTAAAAGAAAAAAAATCCATCCGTAGCCAACAAGAACATTCTAAAAGGCCCATTCCATTAGGCAGCAGTTTGAAGACTGTACAGACTTCTTAAGTTCTGAATACAATTCTCATAAAAAACACATTTCTTAAATCACTCCAATATATATTCTAGTCTCCACTCAGCACACTAACCTCTGACCAACTTACCTGCTGAACCTGCTACAGTTTTCTAGTGACTACTAGAAAAACAAAACAAAACAAGAAAAACACTGTTATTCACACTCTGACCCTCATTTCGCACTGTACAGCACTAACTTCACTAGACTACACGCATCACACATCCTCAAGTGAAAGTGCTTGCTAGGAAAAAAAATAATCCAAAGATCATAGTTTTAGTTTAGTCCTTTTAAGGCATATCTAACATACTGAGCCTAAGTCTGCAGAAATGTGCCTGCTGAAAGACCGAGATGGACCAGACTGCCTCTCTCCTTGGCTAAGAGTCCTCTTGCGTTCACGAACTAAAGCCTTCTGATGTCGCTTCATCCTCTCCAGCTGCTCTTCTGCACTCATCCTGCCTCTTTGGTGGTCTCCAGAGTACAAACGTTCCAAGGCACTCTTTGGTCTCTCCTGAAGAAGTCACAAGGCATGCAAATCATATGTCGCAATTAATACATTGTAAGAAGTAAACAACAAAACAACTCTTTTCCTTGCTTTAACACTAAGTTAGATCATTTAGTTCTTTTATTTTTTATTAATTTGCACATTCCAACTCTGTAATTTCAGTTAAGATGGTAGAGCTGATCTGATGTTCTGAATATTGTTTTATAAATCTATTAAAAATGTAGCCAACTGCTGCCTCCTTGTGTCATGGTTTGTTAGTAAAGAGAAAATAGGAGATATTAGAAGATATTCTACCCTATGCTATTAGAGGCCCATTTYCTGGTATGCAATACATATCTGTACTTAGAAGTACTTTGAGTAATACAGACATTTGTCTTCAAAAGTTTCTTTTAGAGCTTACCTTGGATCTATCCCGCCGAAGTGTTGCATATGATGAAATGGTAGATGATTGGTGCAATCTGGAAGTAGATCCAGATAAACCTTTACAAGAAACAGGAAAATCTTTTACGACCAAAAGCAGATTAAAARGCAAATAAGAGTTTTAGAAATGATCTTACATTTTTTCTATCATACTGCAGTTTCTATTTTAGTTCACATTTCCTATTTTTCAGTTTAGAAGGTCATGAGAGGCACACAATTTGATTTCAGCCACAAATAATATTTTTCAGGTCACTCACTACAGAGTGTAATTCAAACACTTTCAATAATTTAGAGGCTTATATTATAAAAAAGAATGAGATGGACTCAGTTGTGCAACAGAGACAAATAATACCAAAATACATCATCTATATCTTCCGATTGTCATTTGAGAAGTAGTTACACTACTGATACAATAGGGTGCAGTAATAAGTAGCAGATAGTTTTTGTGGGCATTCTGTAACACACAATGTATCATTAACACTCTTCTTAATTTTTAGCGCTTGCATTTCAATGCCTCTGGTAAAAACAGAAGTTTTTATGAAAATCTTTGAGTTTCTAAAACATCATGCAGAGATGAAGCCAAATCATGCAGCCAAATCCCTGGAGAGAAAAGCTCCAGTACAGTGCTACAAAATGCACTTTAACAAATATCAACTGTAGCAATTGTGGACTTACCACGGGTAGGTAACGTCTGGTATCCACTGTTCAAGGTTATTGAACCACTGGAAGGCTGGCTGAGGTCCCCACTTAATGTTGCTAGCTCTGGTTCACTCATGTACGAGCGCAGCTCTACCTACACAGACAYATACTCAGTTGCTCACAGGAAAGACACAGGTAGCAAGTCTTAACAGTGCTCAAACTTGGTTGCTAGATTACTAGGATCTCTCTCTGCCAGATTGCAAGATTTTCTAGTTATTCTAAATCCTAGAGGYGTATAGATTTTTACAGACAGCATCTTTCATTAACGTTTCCTATACGTTTAAAGCACAGGTAATGAGTGCTCACCCTATAATCGCCATTTACATACTGTCCTAGTTCTCTGTCTCTCTTTCTCTCATCCGACTGACGCTTCAGGCCCCGCACTGATGTATGTCTGATGACAGTGGCTTCTCTGGGCAGGGGTGGAACAGCTGGTGGCTGATCATCGGGACTGTACAGCTGGGGGAGAGGAGGTCTGGGTGGTGCTTCATCTTCCTGAGTGTAAGAATTCACAGGTATTTAGCAAACAGTTTGTGGCAGAAGCCATCAAAAAATTCATTATATTCTGAGTTATTTACRAGTGCCACTGGCAGAAGCATAGCCTGCACTCCCACCTCCACACTAGAAACTTGAGGCTTTAAAAGTAAACAAAAAAAAAATCAACAAAAAATCACTACTGAGGAAGTTCTGCCTTGACAGGATCTCTACCAGAACATCGCTACCAGTGGCAACTACCAAGTTACACTCATACTCCTCCAAGTGCTGCTGCTCAGTCCCATTACTAGCACTCTGAATACCTCYTGTATAGCCACACTGCACACTGGCTAACCATGAAGCTTTCAATGTTTCCGCCAGAAGCAAATGCAAAGCCTGCTGAGGGAAGGAAACTTAAAACAGTTGTACTTACAACCTTTGGTGCTAGCTTAGCTGGTGACTGAACAGGGGGCTCGATTTTTTTCAGCTGCTGTGTTTGCTGCTGTGTTCTAGCCTGGAAATAAGGCTGTGGATATAGCCTGACTTCCACAGAAGATTTAAGGGGACTAGATGGAGGACTAGATGGTGGAATGGAAGGTTTGTTCTCCGCACTTTTCAGAGAAGTTGCTAAGGAAGGCACTGTAGGCTGAGAAAACGAAGGCACTACTTTTCTCTCTATGGGAAAAATAAGTAAATATATTAGATGTCATTATATATGCTCATCCTTAAATCTATCAATAATGTTCATTGGAATAAAAATTAACAACTTTAATAATAATAACAATAATACCCCCCCACACACACAAACACACAAATACAAACACACAAATAAAAACACCAAAAAAAAACACCTAACACTCCGCACATTATTTTGAATGTAAACCATTACTTAAACTATGTGGTTGGGACAGAGCTGCACAGGATTTTTTTTTTTTTTTTTAAAACTTATCCCATTATTACTGTTACTCTCCTTTAAGCCGTTACATTTTAGTTCCAAAATTATGTGGAAAAAAACAGTCATTTCATCGCCTGAAAACCAAAGGGAAACAAACCAATTCCAAGGGAATATACTCATGCTACAGGATTTTTGATACAATCAACAGCAGAATTGACTTGATTTTCTGCACCAGAACCAGTATTAGGACTTCTGAACTGTTTACACATTTCCAAAGATTCTACTATATTTGCRTATCTTAATTATGTTATTCTTACCTGGATTCTTGATTGACTCTACTATGGTTTTGTAATTAGCTTTATTTACACTCAAGCCAGCTGTAACATCTTCAATTCTCCATAGGTCTTTTTGTATTTGTGTTTTCTCCTAAAGTTGAGGTAAAAGGAAGAAAAATAAATTATACCCCATTTTTATTTGTCAGGGGCTTATCTTCTTTTGATATCAAAATCAAACATTTTAGAAGTTACATAACAACTTAAAGAGTCTACAAATAGGTTAAATCATTATGTCAATTTAAAAAAATACACAGATAAACAAGACCTGCATATAGGTCTATATTTCCTACAAACGTCAAGGAAAAATAGTAGAGAACTCTATTCTCTTTTCTGTAGTATTGCTCCAGCTAGGCTTTTGTTGCAGTTTAATATTCTCTATAAAACGAGCTTATAGATCCTTGTTAATTTGAATTCTGTTCTTATATCCTGCACAAATATACTTAAGACTGCTAAGACAGTCCTACCAAACTTCTCCTTCAAATTTTGGAAAAATGTCTAATACTAAAAAACAAAAACAAAAGAAAAAATATGCATGTGTATACATAGTTATTTATTTACTAGTACAGTCTCTCTGAATACTGTGAAGTATATAACAGCTTTTAATGGCTGGAATGCAAGACCAAAGCAATCTCACAGAATAAATGACAACTTTATTTTCTGCTCACACCAGGATGGTGTGCAGCTCWCACCAGGTGTACTGGCTTCCAGGCTAAATAGTCTCACGGACTGCAACAACACATYGTTGCAAATCTGCAAATTGTTCCAAATGGTTTGCAAATTTGATTTCATCTCATAACCTGTTTGCTCCACTAATTCCTTCTCGAAGGAAAGAAAAGGAAGTTTTACCTACAATGTGGACTCTGCCTTTGATTGTATTGTGCACTTAGAAGCCTTGGCTACTGAAGCTGCTACTTCAATCAGAAGTTTATAGTAATCATCATTACGATGGAGCAAACAACTGCTCTCACCTGTGTTTCTGTTTTCCAAGTTTGGGATTCTTCCTGTTACTTTATGGCAATCYGTTAGTTTTTAGGAATCAATGCATGTTAATTTTTCCAAAGCTGGCATTAAGAATAAACTGATGGAGTTATTGTCCCCCTTCATGGTTTTACAAAAGAAGCAGAAGACAGTGAACCTGCTGACAAACTCAAACCTGGAAACCCATCACTTGCCATATGCTGCATATGAACTGCTAATTTCYAGACTGTAAGTCTGGAAGAGAAAATTTTAAGTAAAAGCCCTTCCACCTCACAGAGCCAGGGAAGGCAGATAAGTAACTTTGCACATTCCACCTTAGGCCTGAAAATAAGTACAGCCAGGCCATAGATCAGAAAACAGGGTGCCAAGACAACAAACATTTACGTGATGGACAATGTAATTTGCCTGCAGTCAACTCACTCGATAGGTGGAACATGAAAGATTGTCAGAATACAAACCATCAACTTGCACATTTCATTTCAGTGTTCTGAGATTATTCATACYACAATGACGGATTTATAACCATCAAGTCTCCAATTTTTTTTTAGAGGTGCCACATATAAAAAAATTCCTATTAAAACCACTTATAAAATATCTGTCAGTCAGTAGCTTACAAAAAACACGGTACCTTTTAACGTTACTTCTTCTCATTAACTAGATCTTCRTGTGAATATTTTGGATCAAAAATTAATTAGATCTTAAAGATATATACTTTATAGGGAGCATGAGAAGTTTGTTTGGAGAGAGAAACCAATTTCTCTAGTTTCCTTCACCCAGAAACATAATTTAGAATGATTTACAAAACCAGAGGAAAAACACTTGCCAGCTGAGAAACCACCACGACCACAACCACAATACCACATCTTTACTTTCAGCACACCCAGCTCCAGCCAGCCCGTAAGCAAAAGGCAACGACCCTCTGACAAACAAGATTTACTTGGACTGAGCTGGCTAAAACTTTCAGTTTTTAACCTCTTAATTATTGCTAGACAGAAATAGTGTTCTCCACTTCCTACAACTACTTCAGCCTGTAAAAATTATTGAATGTTTAGCAACAGCCTTTAAGACTGCTTTTTAAATATACAGTGTATATTATTTTAAAGCTGTTACCAAACACTATTTGAACACCCTACACATTTTTTGGTTGAGACTGCATATGGATATTTGAGGTATCTTTGATGGAGCATAATTATAAGCCTATGGAATACTTTTCGAAGAAATCAGATCTCTCTAATATGCCCACAATGAGTGATTGGAAACATTTTTAAAAATCTTCATCAGACATATGTATGAATGAATATAAAATACACACATATGCATGTACATAAGGTATGTTCTTTGCATGCTTGTCTGCCTGTACACGCACACATACGCATGCACATGACTAGAGAAGATGGTGAACCTGACCTAGCACACTCTCTCTTTTAATATCAAAACCATTTCTTCCTTTCTACGCAAAGCAGTGCAATGTATTGCTAAGCCACATGCTGCACAGCTGGTACTTTTCAAGTATGCTCAAAGCCTAATTGAAATCCCATTACAGTATGTTTGGTGTAAATCTGAAATTTCCCTTTTTAAAAAAATCAAGTTAACTTCGTAAATGGAGAATTTTGTTCTAAAATAATCCTGGGATGCTCTTCTGAGCTAATTCTACAGTTAAGCTCAGTTTAATGATATTCTGTCTCTAGAAACTACTGTAAAAAAACCAAAAGTTATTAAAAAGCTAAAAGTGATTAGCCAAATATGGAATTTGAATATCAATGCAATCTGAAAAGGTTTTGTAACTCTTATTTTGATTCAAGACCTATTCAAGATCTATTAACAGAGAAGATAAACTCATATTTGATCTGAAGTTTGGAACAAACTCTCAAATTTAAAAATTTAACTAGTAAGCGTTTTTAGTCTGGAATATTTGGATAAGTAGGTTGGGATTTAAACAAATTATTTGTTCCTTGTTTTTTTCCCTTAAATACCCTGTTTTGCCTGGACAGGTGAAATCAAACAGACCGTATTCCTTGCTGTAAGATAAAATCATCAGCTCTAAGAAAATATGTAGAAATAATCTTGCAGGCCACATTCAATTCAGTAAACAGAACAGCTTAGCTTCAAATAAAGCTTCTTTGTTAAGATTCAAAACTGAATAACTGACTTAAAACACAGATGCCTTTCAATTACTGATAGCTATTAAACACTTATTCCACTTCACAAAACAATTTGCAGAGGTAAATACTCAATAAACAGAATAACATGACAAAGAACAAGTAATGATAGTAACAAGCTCGTGACTGATGTTCTTAAAAATGGATAAGTGAACCATGTCTGATGAAATAAATGGAAGACTAAGAAGTCCAGCATAGTCTTCTAAATTAAATACCTTATCAATGTCAAGATGTCAGTATGTAATATAAAGACAATAAAATAATGGCACATTTATCTAGACAGCTTATGGCACCTGCTGCAAAATAGCTAGTTACTGAACAGCTCTGCTGCAACAATTTCTGAACTTTGCAAACTAAGCTCTGTGGTGGCTGAACACAGTGCAGAAATCATAGATTTCTCCTATGAGATCACAGCTTTCAAGTTCAGACACAGTCTTCACAAGGATAATTCAGCATCTTAGAACAGACTCACCTGAGATACAAGGGAACTGTTCATCTGCTCCTGCAAGGCTCGCTTCAACTGGTTCACATCCTTCTCTAATTTCAGATATTGATTCCAGGCATTTTCCATTTCCTGTTAGCAAAGGGAATATTCTAACACAATATTATAACACACCTGGAAGCTACTCTATCACTTTCTTAACAGAGCATCTGACTATTTTTAAGATGTTGCTGTTCCAAACGAAGATGAGAAATCTGTTCCGATGTCTAAGTTCATCACAAAAAAACCAAAATACTTTGCTGCACTTGAAGACTAAGTCCAGAATCCCTTACCAGGGTCTTATGGCTTGCTCACACAGAATCATTCCTTTAGCATAAAACTGGAGTTTAGCAGAATCTGAACTAATACGGTAATATGCCATGACAGAAGCGAATCTATCCCATTTCTATTTTTCCATTTACTTTTTTTAACAAGACTATATCTGGAATCAAAACAGTCACCTAAACCAGACTACATAATAGGAAACATAGCAGGATATTCTTTAAATATCATGGCAGACTGAGATAAAACTTCATTAGAAGCGAATACAAATGCAAACACCTGGAAAATAAGGCTAATCACCCTTACATTACTTAGACTTCTTTCAACATCCATAGCATGGAAAATACCATAGAATCTTGTCTATACTTGCACTGCCAAAGGGAGCAGCTGGAAGATTTGTAATGCAATGGCATACTTAAGTGTCAGATCTACAAAAAAAGTTTAGTCTTTGGAGGGTAGGGTGGGCTGGGGAGTGGTAAGAGTGTGGAAGAGACTGTTGACTGTTTATTCATTTATTTATTTTCATTTGTTTTACTTCTCTTGTATGTTAACCAAACCAGTTCAAACATTAAAAAAAAAAAAAAAAAAAAATCTCAGTTTTGCTCTAGCTAGCATTTCAGTTTTGGTTTTCTTGAAAGATCCAAGATACATACCGTTGAAACTTTGGATATTTCAGCTCGAATACGTATGAGATCCTCTTGCAAAAGTCTCTGCTGGTAAGATATCTTTTCTGCATGTTGTGGCTGGTCTTTGTACTGTTCCATCTGCCTGTGTAAAACCTCCAAGACAGACTCCAGCTGATCCTAACAGAGAAGACAGTAGTAAGCTGAGGATGATACAGGGAATTTTACTGATTGACTTGCGGGAAAAGCTATGTTCTACTTCTGCAGTCTTTCCTTTAAGCTACTTATATTAGGATTTGTCTCCTCTTTTGGAGGCTAAGATGGAATTGAAAAACTGAAAAAGCACTAATAACGACTATAATCAAAATTATCTCACATTTTCTATTAAATCTGTGTAAGTAGATAAACTTCTGGAAAACATGAAGCAGCAAAAGAGATTTTTTTCTATTTGCAGTCTGTGCAGAAAAATCCCCTTAAGCAGTACACAGCTGTGAAACCTTACTACGGCACAGTATAAAAATCAATTTAAGGAAAAATTCTCCTCCACTGCAATATTTAAATTGGCCATGTGAGGAAATAAAATATTATCTAACACACCAAGTAAAGCACTTCTCTCTCCCTCCTTTTCTTTCATTTTAGCAGTGCAATTGCCCAGGTTTYGGTGAGAGCGCAACGCGCGCCCTCCTCGCGAGCCTCTCGGAACGCTGCTCTTCACGCAGACAGGGCTCATCCACCTGGGCAGAGCTGCAGTTAAAACACCACTTGGCCTCTCGCAATGCACCCTTTTGTCATAAGGCAAGCTATACCAAAATGTTCATGTACTTCAGTTAGTCATAAACATCAGAAAAAACCAGATATGTGGTTTCAAGACATTCATTCTCAAAATCATGCTTTCTGAAAGGGGGTACTTACTCCTAACAATTTTCTTTACAAGAGTTTACATAAAGGCTCTAAGAAAATTATCATCATGAAAGCAGCATACAGTAACTTTTTTTTATTTGTAATTCCATTTCTTATGGTTATAGGAAAGTTATTATTTTATAGCAAGCTTTTAAATCTATTTACTTTATTTTCCTTCAGGGCTCTTAATTTGTCTTCCAAGTCTTGTAGAATTCTGTCTTGCTCACAGAAAACACTTAGCTTGACCTAAAAACAAAGTCACAGATATGTAAAGTTAGATTTTAGAAAAGAAGAAAAAAGTCTCCTCTAGTAACGCTTTGCTCCCAAGAACATAATAAAATGAGCCCACACAGAACAATGTAAATAGTCAAAGAAATGCACGAGTCAAAGAAATCCACTAAAGTGGTATCTCATACTTACATCAATATCACTTTCTGCAATCTTGACAGGTTTTGTACTTCGTTCTTTTAACGTGTCACGTCCCGTCACCTAGGAGGAACAGGTTTTAAACATCTAAGAAATTGGGAGCAAACTAAACCTGAAATATGCTCCAACAATAAAGAAAAAAAAAGTTAAATATTCAAGGCTATCTACAAAGATTAATACAAGATAAAACAAAATTATGGACGCAGGTCTTTGCAAACACACTTTCGAAGTTTAAAGACTGTATCAGATATGATTACTAGTTATATTAGGCTATGTACTAAATCTTGCAATAGTTTAAAACTGTACAACAGAKCATAAACCCATTTGTCTACAGAGGTATCTCTCAAAACCTAATCGTTTTTAATAGTTTTTAATTAGTTTGAAAGTTCTCATAGAATCAAAGGAAACTATTAGTTTGTCTAAATGCATGTTTGCAGGCCTAACACCTGTAATGCACATTTTCAGCAACATTTTATTTCTCCAAAGGATAGTCTTCTCCACAGTACACAGAGAATTTTGCTCAGGGAGACTTCTACAAGAATGCTACATTTTTAAAGAGTATAGCATTGTAATTTAAGTGCTATTAATCTAGTTTGACAGATAATTCTCTTTTCTAGCATACCAGTCTCAGTCCAATAAACATTGACTCCACATTCARTTTCTGGTGAGAAGATAATCTTATCACATAACTCATTTTTTAAACTAATGCAGACACTAAACTAAACTTCTAGCAAGAACAGTCTTAAAATGAAGGCATATTTATTTAGGTGGAAATTTTTGTCACTGTCCACAGTTTGACTCTTTATTCTTTTTCTGAATAAAGATTAACAGAACTATCAATGTAATAATGCTCATTAAACACACAATTTTTAACAGCCTTAAAACCAAAAGCCTTAATATTATTAGAATACTAAGATTCATTAAGAAGAAAAAAATGTAGTATCAATATACTGTGTAATTTTACCCATAAGCATGTAATAGTTTATAAACAGAAGTAGATCTAAGTATTACTGTTGCAAGGAGAACAGGTAAGTTTTTTGTGGACTTGGAATCTACAGACTTCGAGCTCACTACAGCTATATCCTTTTATTACTAACTCAGCAGGATCTTATGGGATCATACTATAGTTTTCTTAAAATATTTTTTTCTGTAAGTGTAGATGAATCTTTACTAAATCCTTAGTTTCCTGTTTACCACYTTAGATGAAGTTAGCCACCTTCACACAGCTTTTTTTTTCCCCAAATAATAAACTCTGTTTAAAACAGAAGAGTAAATTCTCATTTTGCTTAATGTCTCTTCTCCTTTTATCTGCTGACCCCATTTCAGGTAGTTAGTCGATACATTTATTACATCCTACCACCAAATACAATAACATTTACTGTTTTTCCMAAGTACTTAGTTTTGATTCTCAAATATTTTCAACTTCAATGGTTCAGTATTTTTTAAACAAAAGTTTTATTTAAGAACAATTAACAGAAATAGCTTTAAATACTAAATCTTATCTGTAACAGTAAGAAATAATATAAGCGCAAATATTAGCATGCCCAAGTCCAAATCTTGCACATTTAAGTACCTGAAAGCTAATGGATTGCAAAAAAGTCTCTCTCAAAGCACTGCAGTTACACTAAGAACACAAGCTAGGTATTTTGTGGCTATTTCAAGTTACATAATCACAACTGTGAAGAAGTTGTTAACTTTCAAGCAGTGAACACGAGAACATAACGTAAGATTCAGCATGCGTGTACATTTTCAAAATTACACATAGGAGTCACTACTTAACACAACCACTTAAAAGAAAGATAAAATGAAACCAAAGACTGAAATCAGCCATTTGTTTTGCATACAGACTCAAAAAAAAAGTTACAGAAAGCTTTTCTATACGTGACCAGACACCTGCAAAAGCCAGCATACGTAAACATCAACTGCTATTGGAAAAAGCGATGGGATGAGCACACTTGCCATACAAGCAGTCTTACATGTATACTGGATAGTAACCCCTGTGCTGAGTTCTTTAGCACTTTGTAAATCATGTTGATCAGAGGTCCGTTATTTTCTATCTGTTTCAAACAGAAGTTCAGTAATAGCTTATTATATATTTTAAAAAACAGCCTCTTCAAACTCAAAACTTCACAAGCAAGAGGAACCACTTACTCTTCCTCCACAGCGATGCTCAGCATTTGCAGTCTCCCACTGCGGGAGCAACTGGCTACCTTCCCTGGTTGTTACACCCTGGGCAGGCTGGTCACCCGCCCGTGTGGCTTTCCATGGACGCTTGCAGAACACACAAGCTCCCAATACGGAGCGGACAGAGGCTTGCCTGGGTGTTCTGCACAACCCACCCAGTTCTTGGGTCTGGGGACAGCCATGCAGGTCTGTGTGCAGAGGAGCCCCTGCCCTGCCACAGCGTGTACACACACACACCCCTTCCTTTCAGAAGTCCAAAACTACAAGGAGTGGGAGTTTCCTCATAACGCAAGTAAAAAAAACTTTCAGTCTATTTTTTTTTAAAAAACCTAAGAATCAGCTTGCATGAGGAGAAAAATACTGTTGWCAGATCAATATCTCTAAAGCATTTTAATTTCATTTATATTATGCCAATAAACTATAATGTAGAATGATACCATCTTGATACTAACATCAGGAATTACTTCTTAGATTACAGTWCAATACTCTTCAGTATTCACATATACTATAGCACAGCAGAGTAACAGCAAGATTTCTTTGGGGGAAAAAGCACTTGAACTACAAGAAATTATTTAATCTCATATAATTAGTTCCTGTAATCAGTTTTAGTGCTATCGTATGCRTTATGAGGCTAATCAAATGTTTAATCACTATTTCAAAGTCACCACATTCCAAAACATCTAAGAAGAAACATGTTTTGAGCAACAGATCAGTTTTGCATTTTCTGACCACTACTGATAAGAGGTTGCTCTTTTAAGCTTGAAGATATTTAATTGGGAAAGAAATGACAATTTTGAACAATTAGGTCATTCRCACAGGCTGCAGGAATGCACAGCCTGTGTTCCTGGTGTGCGTCAAACCAAGGCAGTTCAAATGCTCTCGGAATGTAACTACCCATCCTAATAATTCAATTAAGCACACAACATTTTCAGAAGTTTCTAATCTGGCCAAATTTTTAACAAAGGACACTGTTCCAATTCAGCCGTTGTTTTCAGCATCCTTTAGAACGGACAAGACACTGCATTTATTCATAACATCTATCTCAAGTCACAGGAACTTTTTAGTAACAAGTTGTCACAAAATTTAGCCTAAGACTTGTAACATGGTCAAACTGGGCAAAGCTGTGAACAACCAAGAACAAGGCCTGAAGTGAAATGTATACAACCGATTTTAAGTTGTTGCATTAGTGATGGCAATTGTTAATACTTCAGTAGTATACATTATACCAGTATGCATATTATGCAACACATGATACATACAAACATTACATATGTAATGTGCAAGAGATATTACTCAAATCATTACTAATGTTTTATGTTTGATAGATTTGATTATATATTCAGTTCTTAAAAAAACAGATGAAATGCAAATCTGCTTATCAGTAGGTCCAGCGAGCTCATTAGCTGTACAGAGGCAATGCCCCTTGGCATCAGAGTGAACTACATCCATGTAAATGATACGGTTAATTAGGTGCCRAATTTCACTCCACCTTGATTTTCAGAGATACTGTGCAATTTATAGATGGTGAGACAGGCTACACACWATGGGAAGTGGCAGACTGAGGCGCAAAGCCTACATTCTAGGCGGTGGGTCCCCCTCACACCAAAAAAATCTGGTATTGGAAGTTTTGCTTTCAAATTGCCTCCTATTAGGTATGCCACATGCAGAAATTATTTAGCTTGGATCTACAAGCATTAAGTCTGATGCTTGGTGTCATATTGTTTCAGGAAAATATCCTGGCCACAGTCAACATGATATTGACAGATTATATCTCTGTCTTGAAGGACAGCAGTAAGGTTTTGAAACCTCTTTGCCAAAATAAATGGAAACAAACAAAAGGTGCAAATCAATCAACATACTGTTACAAGAGAAACACGAGATAACATACAGAATATTACAAAGTTGAGGAAAAAGTCAACTCTACTAGATTTAAACGGGAAAAATAAATAAAAAACCTAGTAACACAAACTCTACCTAATAACAGAAACACCTACATTTTCTGTGTTTACATTTTAACTGCATAGTTAATCCTATAAAGACATTCAATACTCTCGATACAAAAGTGACGGCAAAATTCACACTTTCAGTTTCTGGATAAAAAGACTTTGAAAAACTTGTAGGTACAAAGATGACACRAGATCGGTAGTTGAAAAAAGTAGAAGTAGATTCTAATAAATATGCCTTACCTTTAGATCCAGATACTCCAAATCCTTTTTCAACTGAATGTAAGTGTCATCAGCCTTCAGATGAGCACATGGAAAAATAATGCAGTATATTTGAATATTTGAAAAATTAATTTCAATATATTTGTAGTGGTTATTCAAAAGAACATGRATGAAAGAGGAAACAAAATAACAGGATAGGAAGTACATAAAAAGCACATTTGCTTCACCAGCATATTGATATTTACAGTGGAAAAATGGGCAAAATATTTAATGAGGACTTTACTACCTCATGCCCACCCTCCACACACATAGTTTTTAATTTTCCACCTCTAATGAGATACATGACTACTGAAAACAATAAATTTGGACAGAAAAAGTTATTTTTCCAATATCCATAACTACTGACTATCTTTTTATTGAAAAAATTATGGGGCTGCCACCCAGTGCATCACCCTCTGTGTGTGGGACTTCAGCCAAACCTAATGTCACATGTAAAAAGCACCTATTTTACAACAAGTCATAAGAATACTTTTGATCAGATTCATAAACATTTTATAGTATGCATCCCTTTAAGAGTTTTAAGAAATAAACTTCATGAATAGACACTAAGTAAAAATCTCATGTATACAACTGGAAAAACAGTGTTTTTTTTTGTTTGTTTTTTTTTCCCCAGTGATGGTATTCAACTCAATCCCTATTTTGCACTGGCTCACCAGCAACTTCTATTGGCTTAATCCATGTGCAGCTTGCAGTGGCTTGAGAAAAGGCATTCAGGACAGTCATAATAAAATCAGTGGTTCTTCTTTTCAAAAGATTAATTGCATTAAGCAAGAAAATAAAACTTAACTATTGCAATTGTGCTTTATTAGCCAAAACACCTAAAATCTTTGCTGTTATTTTGTCATAATTTTATGTTCTGCATTTATAAAACAGTAGAAGAAAAACACTTTTACAYCTTTCTCAAGTTTTGTATGTGTAGACAGAAAAAAAACCCCATATATGCATAAAAGCAATACATCTCATTTGCATTTCTTTAGAGGTGTTCACTTGTGATTCTTACCCAAGCAACTTGTCAAATTGGCAACAGACTTGACTAGGATGGATGCCCATTTTTTTTTTTTTTTTTTTTTTTACAACCCAGCTTAGTGCAATTGTTCTGTAGGTGAGGTAAACAGGGAAATTAAGTATTTCCAAAACGGAAAAAAAAATCCTTTAATATTAGGCCAATATGAAGGACTTCCCAATTCAAAGAATAATCATCAGATTTTATTCCTAGATGGTTCCATTTTTAAGGATCTAATACAACCCAAAAAAGGACAATAGCTACATTTCTGCTTCTTATCACATTTATAGCCCTCGTAGATCACAGCAATCAAGAGCACTGCTAATGATTTTAGATGAGCTTTTATGAACTGAAGTTCACCTGCAGAACTGAGAGTTACAAGCTCACATGAATGTACAAAGTGGCCAATGCATTTGAGTTTGCAGCTGACACAGCACGTGGTAAAGAGAGCCAATTCCATCATGAAAGCAGCACAGAAAAATGCTTTGGCTTTAGAATGAACATATCCCTCATTTATTTAACTCAATTCTCTGAAGATGCAGCATATGCACTGGTGCCCTATAGCTTAAAATGCTTATCTGTAAGAGCAAGTACAACAGCAAAGGAAAACCACAAACAATAATCTGGGAACTATACCAAAGAAAGGGTAAAAAAGCACAGACTCAAGCATGCCACTGATGAAGCATTTGCAGAGTCACAAAATGTCATAGGCACAGACGAGCCAAGCAGCAGCTGACCTGATAGGTGGAATTAGTTGGCAAGTGCTGCAGTAACTGTGCGATTGTGTAATTTCGTATACTAGCCAACTTAGCCTGATGTCTCCTTAATCGAATGAGAAGCAATGTTAGCTCTTCAGGCTGCAGGTATTTAGACACATTGTAAAGAGGAAATTAGCAGTCTTCAGGGAGAGTAACTGTAATTACATTTTTCACCTCAGTGCCCAGAAAGCAGTTACTTGACATGATTAAGCAATTATTTCATCAACTCTGCATTTGGTCAAATAAACACAACAAAAAGCTGAGTCTAGCAATAATCCACGAAGGTTCTMCAAAGAGCTCGCTCCTGTTCGCACTGCAGATAACCACAATGCTCCCACAGGCTCTGCTGGGAGCCAGTCATGACTTTTTCATATTCAAGTGATTTTGTGGTTTAGGTTTACATTTGAAGATTTAGATTTGGATTAACAAAGAAAAACACAACTACTAAGGAATAAGCAGGATTTGCAAACAGCTACAAAATTATGATGACAGAAAAGACAAAGAAATGGATCCTACAACTTACCGACTTGCCATGCAAACTGGGTGCGCTTACAGTATGGGTCATGTAGCCCATGGCTGGCATGGAGCGTCGATCAACGTGGGTCGAGCTCTGCAAGAAGCCACAGCCAGAACCATGAGGATTAGCTCAAGAGACAGGGGTGTTTTACTGGAGAAAAAAGTCAGGAGATGCATCTCTGCCACAGATTTTCTACCGGAACTACAGGCAYGCTTAGGTGAAGATAACCTTCATGAGCCAGACACACCTCAGTGATCAAGCAAAAGGTAGATGAATACATGCAAAGTTAAGAACTGACAAGCTGAACAGATCTATGGATGCTGGCAGCACAAGATGCTTCAGAAGAATGGGCAAAGCAGTTTCCAAGGGGTAAAAAAAAGAATATTCATAAAGAGTTTGAKGTCTTCCCACCCCACTATCTAATGTCTCCTAGAGAAAGGAAGGCTGGTTTGCACCTGTAAACAGAAGTTTGTTGCATAAACTACACTAATAGCATAAAGCCCTTTTTTTAAGCATTGAACAGTCACTACTATTAAGCTACTGACATGAGGGACATCTTGTGGCAATGAATTCCATTAATGTCACATCTTATTTAATATTGGATCTGTCCCTTTTTATAATGAAAACTTATTTCRCATATATTTTTTCCAGTTATATATTCCTTTTAATGCCAAACTTATTTTTCTCCAAGACAGACTCACATTTTATTTTTAATCCTGTCGCTGAATTTCACTGAATGTTGTTTTGTTCCCCCACGTACACTATACATACATATTTTAATGTGTATGCCATTCTATTATTTTAGGAGAAAAACACTCCCAATCAATGTGATCTGCCACAAATCTTCCTTTATAAACCCCCCCCCCCCCCCCAAAAAAAAAAAACTGTAATGATCGGAAAGATACAGTTCTACAAAAAAAATTATTGTGTTAAATTTTAAAACTTCCAGGATCTTTGCCACACAAGTAAGGAGGCAGTGGAAATGACTAAATTAAATCATCAATGTATGACACTACTTATAAAATAGCATGTAGTTACTGTCATACAAACCTTTACAGCTTGATTTCGAATCTTCCTGGGTGATCCAGCAAAAGGGACTTCTACAGTTTGTCTCTCATCAGAYGGTTTAACTGTGAGCCTCTCTGCAGGAGTGTGGGGTCTCCTGGGTGGAAAACTTTTYGGAGGTCCAGGCGGAGGAATATCAGATGGAGACGGCGGGACAGATATCGACCGTGGAACATCCAAAGAACTTTTTGACTTTCCACGATCAACAAAGTCTGGAAAGGCTGGATAAAGCGGGGCAGTGGGACTGCCGTGTTTAAACTGCTGCCTCTGTTGCCACTCATACAGCTGCCAAACTGTTCCATCCTTATTTGCCTTCCTTTCTTCCTGCGACATCTTCAAGTGGCTAACGCGGTCCTGCGCGTATTTGTAATCACTCGGTAAATTGCGGTTTGGTGGGGGGGAAGAGCTCCCTGAAGGCTGCCTGGTGTTCTTTGGCAAGGTGTGATAGTTCTCAGCAAGAGGCAGAGAAGGGTTGGGACCCTGGCGTGTGAGAGTCTGATCCGAAGCGAGGCTGGAAAGGGGGGAAAAATTCAGCGTATGTTTGTGAGTGGGAGCAACTGATACAAAAACCTCTTCTAATTACTTTAGCATAGGAACTAGAAGAAAAAGAAGAGACTATATGGGGATCCCTTAACAAGACTTTACAAAACRATTTAAACCCCCAAACATTACACCATATTTGTGCCAAGACTGGAAAAGTCCAAACAGAACTTTTTTATTTAACAGCTAACCTAGAATGACCTGCTATAAATAAACTGTTTGGCTTCATTATCTGTACTTAGATGAAAATGTATGTCAAGAACATAAAATATTATCATTGCGTTTAAAACTTTTTTTTTTAACGCTGCCATCACTAGGTGGTGCAGTTTGAGAACAGCAGATACACATGCATTTAAGAAAAAACCTTAAAAGAGTASAAGATAACATTTGACCACAGAAGTAATATCCCACATGTTTTTACTTCATTTGCATGAAGAAAATAATTATAGAACAGCTCAGAAAGTCCTAATGCTACTGTTTTTTTCTGATTTTTTWATTTAGCACACGGCTTTTGCCATAGAATTCCAGCAAATTCAGATATAAAAGGATGCTAACAGATGTAACACAGAAGCAGCAAAAGCCTTTTTGACACAAGATATGCCTAGTTGCTATTTTGAAATGAAAATCTTTCCGCAGTTTGATGTGTAAGAACACACTTGCTAATTTCTGATTTGCCAAATAAACATGTGTGGCTGTACTTGTAGTTACCAGACTACTGATTCTGTATCTTGATGTGGAGAACTATTCTGCTAGGCTTGCCACAGAGTAACTGTACAAAAAACAGTAACAAAAAAATTCACAAAGAGAGGTAGGGCAGCGAGAAGCCTTATCAGTAACTGTCATTCAGTTGTTGCCTTTCTGCCTTTCTACTTGAAGGCTTTGGCACTGCTGGTGCTGTCTTGAAAAATGAACACTCTTAAGAAGACAGGCAATTCCTTGTATGAGAAAGCACCACAATTGCCCTACTCCATCTACAGGATTATAACATTATGTAAATTCTGCTCTCTCACACCACACAGGCTTGGTATCACCCAGAACTCCACAATACAGGACATTTTTTTGAATGCCTCACACATGATTTACACAACATTGTGGGAATATCTTAAGCACAGATGAAACAAGATGGAAAGCAAATGGTATAGTTTTAGCTGACACAAAGTAGCATGACTCAAATCTGCTATTTTAATGAGATACTAAACAGAGGCAGCATGCAATGAAATCCTGAGTTAGTGTTTTGCAACTACGAAAAAACACAGTTTCATCGGCTATAAAATAATACACGAGGAAACAATCCATCCAACCATGACAGCCTCTCTTGTACAGGTTATCACAGGATTCTGGAAATGCTGGCTGGAAAAGACCTTTGGGGATCCTCTAATCCAGCTTCCCATGCAAAGCAGGACTGACATCAACACTAGGAACAAAATCTGAGAAAGCTTGGAGTAGATCATGCTGTCAAAGCAAATATGAGACATCAAATATATCAAAGCTAGGACAGAACTTTTTTTGGCATCTTCACTGAAAAAGAGAGGATTCCTCCAAACCATTCTGTGCTTGTTAGTCTTGTTATATGTCATGTCTTCAAAGCATCACTCTGATTTGCGCTAAGCATGTTACAAATAAATATTTTCCTTTAGTTTAAGGGCATTCTATTATGCAGTCTATTTCAACACTGGCCTGTTACTAACCTCTTTGTATCGCCTTTTTGGACCTTTACCCAGTGCTCCACTTGAGCCATGTTACTTTTTCTTTGAATCTGTTTATCTGGATTTGTTCTGGGAACAAACCCTCTTTTATAAGAGCCAGTCCCATTCTGCTCCACTAGACCAGCGCTCCTATTTAATGAGCTGGGAAGCGTCCCATTCTTCTCAACAGGCTGGGGCTGAGCTCCTTGGGATCGGGGTGCGCTCATTAAATCTGGAAATAATGAATCAGCTTCTGTTAATGCATGCTTGGCCTTTCCTTTCTTGGCTTCCAGAGTTTCTTTTCGGTGGATGTAACGCTGCTCCTCCTCTTTTTCTCTTCTTATCTCGTCACGCTTATCATAACCATATGTTTCTGCTGATTTTTGATAACTTTCATTTAAATCTGAAATCTCTGCCTTCGCAAGCTCTTTAGCGGCATCCACATGATTGGCTTGGGGAACAGCTTGCTGATCCACTTTTTCACTTTCTCTGAAAAGAAAATACGTGCTTGTAATGAACACCACTTAACTGTGAAAAGTTGAGGAGGTCTTGTTAATATTTTAAAAAGGATCACACACAAAAGCAAGCTTTCCAGAATGTAAAAAATTCAGGAGAGGTATGTTAAGATAGATGTGCTCAGTAAAACTCAGTTGTTATCCAGTCAGAAAAAAGTTGTCTTTACAGTGCTATCAAAGAAACAGCAATCTTTCATGTGCACCTATAAAAATCAACTGAAAATACTCATTAACTCMAAGTGTTCAACTTGTATACCAACAGCTATATATAAAAAAGAAATCTTATTCTGAGAAGTATTAAAAGCCAACAAAACAAATGAACAAAACTCCCTGCCAACGCTTCATCTTCAGGTCAAAAAAAGCCTTTCGGGCTTTGGTAGGTGCCTTAGGAACCAGGTGCCTTATTTCTGTCCAAGTAGGTAGAACAGTATCGATATTTAAGAGTATCACTGATCCAGCAATCTTTCACTTGGGGGGTATTCCAAACAAACAGGACAAAAGAAAACAAGGCCTCCAAGAGTTCACTCCAAATGCATCCCATGAAAACTACTTTATTTGCTTCATCTTTTAAATCTTTCAAGAATTGTACAGAATTCTTTGGATATTCATTTAAACTTACGAAACGCCACACAATATCTAAAGGTAGAACAAGTTTTCATGCTGCTTTTGAAAACTCAACAACTTCACTTGCCACTTTGTCTCCTTATAGGCATAAGCTTCTCTGTGACATTTTTTCTCCTGACTGTTCAATATTGATCACTGATCTCCAAATAGCAACTAATCTTGCTGAAATCAAGTTCAGTTTCTTTAATGCTTTAAGGAAGATAAAATCTGAGCAAACTCCATTGAAAGAAGAAAAAAAACAAAAACAAAAAACAAAAAACAAAAACAAACAAACAAAAAAAAAAACCCACTGTCTCAGAATGAATTACTCCTATCCTTAAAAGAATATAAAAAAATACATGAAGGATTAAATGCTATTTGCAATTGAAATTAAAACCAATTAAAAGATTCCTAATACAGAATCAGACAGGTATAATAGCTTTGAGAATTATTTAGGACAAGAAAATGCAAAGCTGTGGAATGGATGTTGATCCTTTGCTCATACTGTATTATGGATTTGCCAGAAGCAAGCACTACTGCAAGKTACTCTGAGAAACTGCATCATCACATCTTAATTCTCAGAGCCCCAGGGTTAAAAGTAGGGCCTCCTCGCAGTACAGCATCTTCCTTCATAGTGGGTAGGATGGAAAAATAACACATTCCCAAAGTGTAAACATGAAGAGGAYAAATCAATTTTAGGGAAAAGAAAAACTGGAAACACAAAGACCCGACTGAATTCACTTGCCTCTGGAGTTGGGCAATACTCATGGACATCCTTCTCTAGGAGCCATGCTTTYCTCTACTTTGAGAAAAACCATAGACCTCTTACAGGTAGTAAGGTCAGGTCTGCAAGCCAAAAWCTAGCTATTAAACTATTGAAACACAAGACTAAATGAACATAACTCTGAGCACATACCATCTACTCATCTTTAACATTCCTTTTCCTCTTACCAGCATTTTAACCCTAGTTCTAAACAACCATTTGAAACAATCCACTACTCTGTCTTTTCCCTTCTCCCTACTCTCCTTCATTTAGCAAYTGCAGGTATATGAATGTGTTCACAAAAACTGCAACAGTTGAAATAAAATTCCCTTAAAAAAACGAAATCARAAAGGACACCCATGTTATCAAATGTGGGCATAACGTTTCTATATGGATACAGATATGGTGCATGGGATTTTATTACTTAGCTTGTGTCAACTGACTAATTTGCAAGAGAAGAAACAGCTTCCCTTCTTWAAAATCCAAGCAATTCCACGCACACATTTAAAAATACCACTTTTACAATTTACCAATCAAAAATTTGATTTTTGACAAGCTTTTCTTAACTGACTGCTGGTTTACTGAACTTGCCTCTTCAGTGAAGARCGAGTTTGCATAAGGGCGGCTTGATTCATAGCTCGGATCCAACCATTCATGTCCTCTTGCGTGTCTGCGCTGAAGTAGTACGTCCGCATCCCCGAATGCTCTGCCTGAGAGCCAATGACAGAATTCTTATTGTAGATATAAGCCCTCATTCCTGTGTGAACAGCCTGTAAGGGAAGTGGGGGAAAAAAATAAAATAAAAACAAATCAGAGTCATCGTATTTTCCCTGAAAATTTATTCAGTTTTTCTTGATACCTTTAAAAATATAYCAAATTTTTAGAGTGTATGAACTTAGAGAAAAGCTATTATAAATGTAATGCAAYGAACTCAAATATAACAGTACTCTATTTTTCACTTAAATTCCTTGACTTTTTTCAGAGTATTAAATTAACAGTGCAGCAATCTTTTTTTTTTTTTTTCCATAGAAGGGATTTTCAGCTTTCTCTTTTTAAGTTTCAAATGTTTCATTTGCTATAAATATGATACAAAAATCAAACAAATTCTGAGATGTGCATAAGTGAGCCAATTTTCCCAGCTCATTTCACATGCCAAAACAGGACAAAAATCTTACAATTCAAGCAATTAAATTCTTATTTAAGGCATGATTATAATGCATTTTAAGATCTTTCAGTTAAAGCATGCACTTAAACATCTGTATTAGCTGTAAAATTACAAGACTTTGATAAAGTTAGTAGTATTGATGGAATTATCAAAGCACACAAGATACAAACATGCACCTGTGCACACCAAAATATTTCATGAAATTTCATTGAAAACTAGAGGTACTTTGACATTTCTTGACATTTTAACAACTAAATATTACCGTCATTATGCACATTATATTTTWAAAAAATGTTTAATATGGAATGTCTCTGGAATCTTAAGACAGTTAAGTTCAAAACTCATGAACACTTATATAAGGGATGTATTAAGTCATACCAGTCCTGAACATTTTACTGTTTCATATAAGCGAATTTACAAATGTGCTTCTGATATAGCCCACTACTGTTAACAGAATCAACTGAAAGAGATTCCTTTATCACTTCTCAAAAAACTGAAGTTGGTGTACTCAGCTTGGAAGCTCTTACAGGAATACTTAAAGGACAAGAGTAATTTATTATTTTTATTAATAAATCTAAAATTATCATCAGGAACAAAACATAATGGCTCAAAACACCCTGAAATAGCATTGTTGGTTTTTTTTTAAAAGGATAAAAAAAAAAAAAAAAAATGAACATCTTAATTCAGCTGCATCTTTTCAAGGTCAAATATATTTTGTGTACATTCCCTAAATGACAAGTCTTATTATTTTGATGGAATCATCTCCCCCTCATTATTCCAAATTAAATAACACTCCACAATCATAGATGACTTCAGAAACACAGCAATAGTCCTCACAATGCCCAGGCTACTTCCCGGCTACCCAGACAAGTCCTTCAACTGCCATCGAACCTGCAGCAGAAGGAGGACCAGACTGGCTAGGAAGAGGAGGATGAGGAGGGGGTGTACAGAAGCCCGAGACTAGTTCCTGCTCCCAAGAGTCTCTGCTTCCCAGCAACACTGGCAGCATGAGAAAACAAGATGACTTTCCCTTCCCAGCAATTAGCTCCCCTAATACAGGAAAACAGGACATACATTTATGAAAAAGTCTAATCAATTACATATTTAGGAATCAGAAAGATTTTTTTTCCTCATTTCACTAAGCAGTTGGTTCATTGAGTTCTTTGTGTTTGAGATTTGCTAGGTTTTTTTTCTCCCACTTTTTTTATTCCCCCTCCATCTTGAGACCACTAAGGTCTCTAAGTCTCATGCTCAGACTCGCTCAAAACAAATAGGATTTAATTCACTAAAATATATTATTAATATACAGTGCAAGAACTGACTGGAAGTGGTAATCCAGAAGTAAAGGAAATCGGTGATTTGGGTAGACCTCATGACCACAGGCTTCCTTTATAGACTACTTTGAGTCTAGAAAAGAAGCTATAATTCAGAAGTGAAGCACCTCCTACTTTCTCCTACTGAAGGAAGMAAAGCAGATTTTTATATCCTCCTATGGATTACACAATAGAGACCCCATGTTCTTTGATTAAATATTTGTAGAAAAAAATAGTGTGTAGAGTAGCAGACTAATAAATGCATTTAAGAGTTGTCTGTCATAATTCACCTGTATGTCCTGATCAACAYGATCAGTCTGCTTTTCATGTTCTTTTTCAGTAGTGGGTGATAAACATAACTAAAAGCACTGCCTAAGGGACTGTAGGTGAAAATGGCATAAAAATGCAAAATATACTCCCTCAGTCTCCCTCGAGGGACTGAATGCTATCATGGCCATCAACATTCAAAGCTTCAGAAGGGATAATGGAGGTGTTGTGCTGCTGTCAAACCAACCTGGCAGTCTGCTGTTCTTAGCATATAAAACTGGTGAAAGGAAAATTCAAGTATTTTTCAGTTATTTATTAGTAGTACATCCACGATGTGAGAAAGAAATGTGTGCTAATGTCCTGTAGCTGWCACCACTAGCAGACACAGACTAGTGATTCTCCATTTTTCAAATWAAAGCAATAGCTATTAGGATGACTACGGCATACTAAAAGGTCTAAAACACAGCACATGCACACACATACAGCAGACATCACACTGAAAAAAATAATATTGGTACCTATTCATGCATTCAGATGCCTTAATGTGGATAGATTGAGAAGAAAAGCAGTCTCTCTCCCATAAGGCACAGGAGAAATGGACAGTAAAYCACAAGAGCAAATCAACAGGACAAGACAAGGACAAAAAGTAAAACGGGTTAAAATAATGAAAAGATTGATATTTTAAAGGAAAATATTTATCAAAAGACAGTACCAAGAAAAATCTGCAGTAATGGCAGTTTTTCTAATGAGCTATAAAAATACAGCAAATTTTCCTTTCTCCTAAATTTAGAAATTTATGAAACATTTACGAACAAATAATGAAATAATACCCTATCCCTTTATTRAACAAACAACAGCACACTAAAATCCAACTCATCTTCAGTCCCAAATAAGACTGAGGTTTTTTAGGCATTCTAGAAGCTGGGACGTTTCATACCCTCTTCAGAGTATTAACATGGTGCCTCTCAATTTTTTAGCACTTGACATTTCTTTCATTGACTCTCTAGACTTCTAGAAGTTTTATAAACGATATGGGAGCCTTAGGAAACAAAAATGTTCCAGAGTACATAAAAGAAGTAAACTGTCAACAAAAAGTGGGAGAACAGTAAGATCACAAGCAAAGAGATARGAGGTTTGCCCTGGTCCCAGCAGGTCCAATCATGAAAAGATAATTCCATTAGTAAGACCAGGGTGTCAATAAAGACAGACATTTAAAAAATAATCTGCAGTAGCATAATGTAAAGATTTGGCCTGGCATCTGGCCATGTGAATACACTCATATTCACAGAGTGACTTTCTGAAATAAAAATTAATAAAAGGTACTAGGCAAAGTTAAAATATAACTGGGTAAACTCCAGTGTTATCTCCTACCCTTGGGGAAATGGCAGAGCCTTCTTCCTTGGCTTTATTTGTAGTGAGGCGTGTTCTTGTATGCAAACACCTACTTGTGTCCAYGGTGCTCTGTGAAGTCTAGCTGTTAGTTTCTTTACTGAAGATGTCAAYAGGCCTACCAATTTTATCAGTTTCTATTCGTGTCAGATTTGTATAGAGAATATACTCTCTCACATATTCGTAATACACATAAGATCACTTAAAAACAATTTTTCTGTGTGAAGACAATGAGGCTTCTAAAAAGACTGCAATGGTATTAACCTTCACAAACTGGTGACACTAAAATACTAAAAACTAAACTTCTAAACAAAACAGTTTAACATACACACTGCTGCACTTCAAAGTCGGTCTCAACTGCCTGTGAACACCCTTATGCAGTTCTATTGGCATATCACAGTAAAAGCCTTCTGAGAGATGCAAAATCCTGAGCTTGCCTCAGGAGATCATTAAAGGACCAGAGTTTATAGAAACAGTTACAGTAAAGACTATTTTAAATACATTCTCCTAACTTAATCACATACAAAACGCATTAGTATATTTGCCATGTAAAATTTCTTCTTTTAAAGCAAAGATTTTTTTACCCTCTCCACCTCCAAGCTTGGCTACTTCTCTAGCTTCAGAAAATAACTGTTACTGGAAATAGACATTTAAAATAGAAGCTGAGACCTCTATTATAACAAGCAGCTTACAAAAATCTGAATAACTGACTGGGCCATATGTAAAATGTGACACGGCACATTCTGCTACCCACTCAGGACTTAACATGTACAAGTCCTATCTTTATGTCGGGCTTAATCTTCTTGTGTTTTCTATTTCTGTCTGCCACGAGACAGAATGTCCATCTCTGCTCCGGATACCCAAGTGTACTAAGCGATTAGATAGCTGTAATGGCTGGTGAGTGATGGCATTCCAATGACGCCACATTCCTGCTACCTTGCGTGCCCGTGGCTGACATTGGGAGCGTGGAATTTCAGCAGTAGGTGTGATCCATGCTACAGAAATCTTACAAAAACCTCCTAACGCTGCAGAAATCAGCTTTGCATGTAATGACCACAGTAACATCAAGCCTGCAGTCCTCAATCATCTGCCACAAAGCAGAGTCAAGGCCAGCCCAACAAACTCTCCTACATGAAATACGTTTYTTGAATTAGCTTTCCAGTAAATTTTTTTTTGTTATAAACCCCTATCAGCTTTTTTTGAAATGCATTGTGCTTTGAAATCCCAGGTTATTGGCTATCCTCATTAAGACTCAGATACTTGCTAAACACTTGCTAGAACTCATACAAGAATGATAACTCAAGCCATCTGAGAAGGAACTTAGAAAGCAAGTATAACTGCTTCTGAAAATGGTTCACCATTATCACAAGCATGGATTCTGTTTTGCCAGAAAACACAGCAGTGACTTCAGAGCCTACCTACAGAGCAGTCCATATGAAAAGTAAAGATGTACACCTACAGAAATACATGTCCCTTTCCTCCGTCACGCCTAGTGCTGCGTTCATTAACACACCCTTAACTTACTTTTGATTAACATTTACAAATATGCTTTGGAGAAAATAAACAGYCTTTTTAAAATTCCCCAAATTTTATATATGAAATATTCTATATGAAAACAGATACTATTGCTATTTTCTTCATCTCCTTCCCCACTCTGCACTATTACTTGAGAGAAACAGAAGTCTAGACATGCACTGGATCCTCTCTCTTCCATTACATGCTTCTTCCTAGATAAAGGCTCTAAAGGAGAGGGGCTTTGAGTTACAACTCATCAAATATTTGAGTAAAATCCTACAGAGAATTCTTTTGTAGCYTGCACTCTTATCTCACCTTTAGTATATTTGAAAAAGTACTGTGAACTTATCCAGAAAATGCACTGGACCTTGTTAAAAAGACTTTTTCTAAGTCACTATTTGCTCATAGGAACAAAAGGCAGCCTGGGTTTTTAGAACTCCACAAAAATCAAAATGAAGTTCCAGATGTGTGGATACTTTTTGTGATTTTTGCACAGATTTAAATAGAATGTTTAAAAAGAAAACATTCTGATAAACATACCTGATCAAAAAGAGATCAGGTATAAGTGATCTAGAACTGCAAAACATTTTTTTGGTTCTGCTCCAAGTTTTGGTATAATTTAAGTGCTGCAGCTTAAACAATCTATTAAAGGCAGGTTTTACCACTGTCAAAGAACAACATATGCTTTATTTCATTTTCATACATTTAAAAATTATGAATAGAACAAACTATAAATTATCCAAATAAAATTCATGTAAAATATAAACTATAGCACACAAAAGCATTTTTATTTTAAAAACATGCAAAAAAAAAAAAAWTACTCAATATCACTTTGGGCTACACTATAGTTCCCAAAGAAGAAAGTAGAAAAAAAAGTCAGGCCTTTTTCCTCCTTCCTTGAACAAGTAAATTTACATCAAAAGCCACATTGCTGTGTTTTTTCCTAGCTGTCAAAAATGAGCTTGTATCACTAAAAAGCAGAAATTAAATCCGCCATGAGATCAAGCACTCTATTAAAAAAAATCAAATTTCAACCAATTCATAAAAGTATAATAATTTTATCAATATTAATTTCTGTTTTTAGAAAAAGTATCTGCTCACAGAAACATTATGAAGTTCTAAAGACACTTACCTAGAAATAAAGGGACGAATTTGAATCTGTTAGTGATAAGGACGTGCTATGTCACATTTCAACAGGGAGTCAATAAACCTGCCTGATTTCAAAAAGATTTAGGCAAGCAGATGATGTTTCTATATGCAAGAGCATCTTTTCTCAGGCAGATAGATATTTTCAAATATGTCTAGCTAATAAGCTTTGCAACTGTACCTTAAAAGAAAATTTCCGATTTATGCGATCTTCAGGTCCAACAGGAGATATTACGTAACTAGGCAACGGGATGCTACCCAAAACAGATTCTTCTCTGCTGTCTGTTGGAAAAAAAATAAACGTATTTCACTGCACTCTTCAGTGGGGAAACAGTACGTACACTCCTTACAGACACATAGGGGTAACCGACAGGAAGACAAAAGGCAATAAGCACGTTGGTAAAGAGTGGTTCAGGCTGAAAATAAGGAAAAAAAAATTCACCATGAAGACGGTGAAGCAGTGGAGCAGGCTGAGAGAGAGAATGTGCAGCCTCTGCCTTTGAAAGTTTTCAAGACCCATTAGCAAAAAGCCCTGAGCTTACCTGGCTTTCGTCAGGAGATTGAACTAGATACCTAAGTCCCTCCACTAATTATAAATGGAGAAATTTTTTAAAGAAATGATACTGGAATATTTATAATAATGGAAAATCTGGTGTGTTACTTTGTTTTGCTTTGTTATTTTGGAGGGGTTTTGCAGCTGAAATGCAGAAGCTACAAATATGAACTAAAGCTTCACATTTGGTAATGCTTTCAAAGAACTGTAATGTGCAACACAGTATCTGAAACTTCATAACAGCCCCATGTAATATATTATGCCATTATTCCTAACCTAGATTAAGAWTACATCTAATCTTTTTTCGTAGAAATGCTGGCTTCAGAGTTTCCACTCTCACATTATCCCTCATTTTCAAGTTGAATCATTTCCCTGATCAAGCTGTCTTACATTCTCAAAGGCAGTCGTGCAGGCTCCAGCAAGTAAGCAACGTGAGGTAGAATGGGGTTGAGAAAAAAAATCTTAAACTGGTATTGCTGCCAAATATTTTGTAGCATAAATCKTGGCATAAAGTAAAAATATATTATGTGATGAAAGATCATACAACACGAGCTTGAWCCAAAGTACTGGCATGAAATTTGCTATGTGCTGAAAAGATGTGGGTAAGTTATAGCTCCATGATGTGTCTTCTCAAACTATCTGGCTTTATCTGAAGAATTAAGTTGGTTTATCCTTACAAAGTGGTTTGAACAGGAAAATAGTTACAAACTCAAAAGATTTTGAATTACCTACTCACCTTTGTAGTAAAACAAACAAAAATCAGCAAGCACAAACCACCGTCTTTTCCATAATCTCATTCCAGAGCTATCCTGAAAAGCAAGAAATGTGATACAAGTATTCATTTTAAGGAAGGTAACTAAATCACAGTGTTGCACCGGTTAGTAATTTACCAGAATAGGGGATTATTTGCAAAAATAAGTGTTTCATATTTTAGCAAAATATGCATTAAGAAAGCTACATCAATCTATAAAATGACTGCCCACAATGCAATATTAAACGTGAACATTTCTATTAAATCATTAAAATCATATCAAAGAGCATTCATCTTGCACACAATAGGTGCATAATTTTTTTCTCAGCTAATTTGTCCAGCAATGAGGAAATGAAGTATGCATCCAGATGGCATGAACTCCAAAAAGGACTGCTTSTAGACCAAGATAAAAATCACTGTGCAGGCCTGAAGTATGACTGCATATTTCAGAAAATATCTCCTACATTCTACAGCTAATTTCCCATATGCTGCCTAGAGCTAAAATATAGAGTAATCAACTATTCCTTAGGATATGAAATAGGGCACACCATATGTAAGGTTAATTTGAGTAAAATTTCACATGCACATTAAGATATATAGACAGATTTTTAAGATACATTAGTTTGGCAAAAATGAATAATATTTACATTGAAATTGATTTTAGAAGATTGTAAGATTGCCAGACCATAGCTTATGTCCAACTTACTGAGTTAGGTTTTGATAAATTGTTATATATACRCATTATTTTTCTTCTTTTTATAGCCATACTAAGCACGCAACAACTTTCTTCCCTTTTCTTACTATAATGCTGTTAACACGCAGTGTGTCTGAGTGCTGATTCTGTTCTGACAACTAACAGACTTGGGTAGTGCATGTCAACAGGACTGATCATGGAACACGGATCTTCATGCAGGAGCAAGTGAATTGCTGTCAGCAACAGACATTTCCTTTCTAYGTAGAATCATAGCTGCAAACCTAGGACCTCAGTCTTTAATTTAGCTGCTGGATCTCTGGTAATAATCTGGTGAGCACTAACTCAAATTTGAAGGATTAAAGTATTTTCTCATAAAGCAAATAGCTTTATTTACTTCTTGCATCCAAAGATCTGTTTTAGACATTTTGAGAGTTCGAGATGCAAAAGTTGCAAAATTCAGACGGTTGCACTGTCTGAAATCCTACAACCCAGYCTTTGTCTGGACACAGGTCTTGCTGACAGTTTAGCATGGTGAACAAGTCTCTGCCTCCCTTTATCTTCTGCCTCCTGCTTCTGGAGAACAGAAGATAAATGACTTGGAACTAAGTCGTCAGCCAGGGTAAAAAAGCATAAGCATAATGCCCAGCAAGCCTTCTCTGGGAGAGGAGATCAGCATGGCAGCAAGCAAGAAGGATAAAAAAGGGAAAATAATCAGATTTAGGCAATAAAATTGTAGCCTCAACATTTAACCATCACAGCAGTATGTATTTATCTTTGCTTCCACTTCTGAGTCAAGGTTGTATATAAAACTTGGGTTTCCTACTGACACTCATGATGGAAATGGTGGGATTTCCAAACGCTACTCTGCATCACTAATATCCACATCCTCTGCTGTTTCACTCTTACCTGAAAGGCACTTGTTTCAATTTGAGGATTATATTGAAATACATAGCCAGAAACTCATGATTATATGCATACCTGTTTGTGTAACCAGCCTCTTACTATAACAGGAACATTAGGATTCCTCCTGATCGCTTGCTCCCTCTTTCCAAAGCTATGAACTTTGCTGCCAGCTTTCACAACCTGTAAAGAAGTACACTGTAGCAGTACTTTTTTAAACTGTACTGTAGGCAAATTTCATGCCACAAATAACTTCACTGCAATAATTTGTGCTTCATTATACAATAACAGTATTCTAAGCATTTTCAAAGGTAGGTTAATAAACAATAACCTTTACAATATTGTAAACTCAGTTCCCCCTTCTCATCAACATATCAGTGCCAGAAAGGTTTTCCAATGTCCACCTGAAGATCAACAGCCCTAATGCTCAAGTTGGAACACTGCTGAAGTTCCACTGTGCTTCAGAAGTAATTCCAAGTGCATTACAGAACTGCTTGCAACTCTCTCTCTGCAACATGGTACAAGTCTCCCACATATGAGTTCCTGTAAATCAATTCTGTGCTTGCCTTTCCTCCCCACTGCTTCTGTTTCAACTCAAATAAAATATACAGCTTGGACTTTGATCCTACAAACAAAAGGAGATGATGTAGAGTGACCTTGCTAAGAAAGACACCTTAAGAGCAAAAATCCTAAGGACCGTAGGTCTGTGTTTTACTGCAAACCCAGTTTTGACTCAAATGGGAAAAGCAATATTAAAACAAGCAGAAAATGTCTATGAAAAAGACAAGGGAAGTACTTGCATGAATAATCTATCTCTTGTTTTCCAACCTCAGCACAGTTGGCTATTGCAAAAGTTCCTAAAACAAGTGCAATCACACCTGCTTACAGATTCATTCCGTCTTCCCTCTACAATGCCTCTCCAATGCCTCCTCTGCTCACTTTTCTCCTGTCAGCTGCTCAGGGCACTGGGGCGCTCTCAGCTGCACACAAACAGCAGCTCTGGAAATGAGCACATCTGTCATATGCGGGGGATGATATAACAAACAAAAACATGCCCATACTGTACTGTATGTGTCTGCCAGGCAACATCTGGACAAAATGACAGCATAATTAACTAGATAATGCTCTATCAATATACGGCAACATAAAAATGAATTACGTTATTTTTTCCTGATAATTTTTCTCTCAGAAAGCCTGAACAAGATTTATTTGTGATCCAGCGCTACTGGAGAGCATCTGAACTGCCCTAATGCCCAAAACTAGCACAAACTGGCATTGCTAAAAGTGCTTGCAGCTTTCTGACCCAGAAGTWTCCTATAGACATCTGCCTCTGTAACAGGAACATAAACAGCACATCAATACACAACGTAACTCTTTTAGTTCAGACCTAGCATCCTGAGGCATACTGAGGTCTGACTAAACAAGGCTGACCGAACAGCAGCAGGTTTATGAGCAGATGCCCACGCCGTTCAGCGGGCAGTGGCAATAACCAGGATACGGCTGGCTAACATGACTACTGAGGGCCAGCTTTGTGCACACACAACAACAGTCTRGACCACAAAGTCTCCCTCTGTACTTGGTTACAGACCAATAAGCAGTAAGTCTGACACAAAACGAAGGAAGAAACAAGGCATTTAGCATTTTGTTGGCTACTTTAAAATACTTCAAAATATTGTTTCCATATCTGTGCCCAAATACCACTTTTACACAAACACACAGAAGCATCACAAGGATCAGGCCAAATGATGCATTTTTTAAAAGAAAAAATAGAAGCAACTAATACAGTCAAGATTTTTGCTTGGGTGGAAGATACTACCTTATTACCTCCTCTCTTACACTTCTAGCCTAAACTCATGGCCCCAGTAAAATCAACAATGAAATAATAATGATTTAAAGCAAGTGACATTCTAATCATACAGCTCGAACAAGAGTCTTTGTCCTTTACCTTAGCAGAAGGCTTTGCATCAACAGTAGATGTAGTTACTGCARTGGATGTTTCACTGACCATACTTGAAGGTCTTTGGTTTACTTGTTGCTTGGACATATGTGAATTCTGCCTAGAAAAGATATAAAAACAGGTACTCTGAAGCACATTATTTCCAATAGTCAGCATTACTTTTTATATCTAACATATATATGCTTATATAATTATTTACATAATTTAATAACTATATAATTTAATATATAACACGAAGACGGCAAGTGACAGGCTCAACAAGTACAAGGAAAATATTTCCCATGTGTCTGCCTTCAATTTTTCTTGCACCGTCCATATTATTTTGATCCCAGGCATCTCCCAAGCAGATGCTATCAATGACATCTGATGACTGATATTTGTAAAAATATCAAAAGGAAAAGACTTGCCAAGGAGTATACAAATCCAGCAAAGATTCAAGATTTAACAAAAAACAATGACAGCAGATAAGGCCAATGCACAACAAATCATGCCCAGTTTAGAAATCTTGCTGCCAACGTGCGAAAGAACTGATTGCAGTGAGGGAAGGGTAGGAATCTGTACAGACACTGTACAAACAAGAACAAGTTTATTATTTTAAGCAAAGGTGAGGATAACCTTAGAATGACAAACTTTTCACTCTGCCCAAAAACACAGTTCATATCACAACAGGAATTAGTAATGTAAGAATATCTTTTAAGCAGAATAATGTTATCCTGACAGTTATCTCTAGAAATATCACATCTCTGAATCTTCAGGAATGCATTTCCTATTCTCTACACAGTAACTATAGGCCAAGTAAAAATTAACACATTCAGCGATCCACACTACATTGCCCCAGTTGTCTCCTCTGTGAAGGTGTGACCTGTTTCCTAAGTTTCATCTTCAGTTTTCTACAACAAAGACACAGCTGTGAGCAGCATCTCCGTTCTGCCTACGCTTGCACTAAAAACAAGCCCCCTCTCCCATCATCACCACTCATTCACAGACAGTAGTCAATACCTTTAGCTGAGTTTGTAACCTCAGGAAAAATCCTAGCATAATGCACCATCTATTTAAATAAGCCATTGCCAAAACTGTGCTTCCCAGCCACTGGGCTCCTCTGGTGGAGCTTTCCATTGTAACTCCCCATATCCTGGTTCGGATCCAACAAAAACACCAGCTTTGGTAACACACAACAGCCAGTTAGCTGATCCTGAAGCTGAAAACAAACAGCTAAAAGCAAACACCAAACAGCTAACCGAAGAGAGTACAGAAAGCATAAACAAGCTTCACGTTATAAACAACGTCAAGACAGACTTTGGGCTACAGTGAGGCAGTGCACTGAAAGCCACCGATTATCATGGCAGTATTTTTGCAAAAGAGAAAACCATTAGCACCTGCCAAAAACAAGATGCGAGTCTCACGACACAAGCCAATACACATGCAGAAGGACAGCTCCAGCCCTGCAGAGGAACCAATRGGGAACTTAAACCCACGCTCTGTAAACACATATAAAGAATTGGAGGCAAAGTGATGGACAGTACAGCAAGTGAAYTGAGGTAAAACTTTTGAAAATGAAGAGTGACATCTGGTAAAACTAAGAACTAGACTACTCTTTCTTGAAAAAGAACCAAATTAAGTGTTAAGTCATTAACCTTCAGGAATGTCTAACCTTCCCGTGAAAAAGATGAGAGAAAACACTAGTCAAACTGTCCTATTCTGCTCTACAGAAGCTTAACACTCCTAGCATCATTGCAGCTTTAAAAAAAACACGTCTTCATTTGGGATTTAAGCCGTACATTCATCATCTCCACTTAGCTGATTTTCTACATCAAGATCTATTTTGTTAAGCGAGTTCAGTATTTATATTTCTGTGTACATATTTACACAAGCTCTTTTTATGTTACATACCCTCAAGACATCATCTAGCAGTTCTACTTTCCTCGAACATCTAAACAATTGTCAGCACTCCAAGCCTTTAGAAGACTGGTGTATTTGTCACTCAAATACAGAAAAGAGAGAGAGTAGTATGCAGGCGTAATTCAAACCTTTCTGCTTATTTTACTTGCCAAAATAGGAATGATCTTGAATGGAAAATTCTTGAAAATAAAATTTTATTTTTTAATAAATGCTGTTGATGGCAGCAGCCATTGATACTGCTTAAGGTTAARTCAGAAATTATTTACACATAATTTTTTTTAAGGTAGCAACAAAAACCATGTGAGGATTCCTCACTAGTTAGTCTCTCATTACTGTATTAGAAATACAAAGCAGGGATATCATCATTTAGATTGTACCACTGGAAAACATTTTAAGCAATAATTTTTATCTCTAAGTCAACATTTACAACAGTAACCCTTCTCCTTTGTAGGGGAGAGGTGGTAGCTGTAAATAAAAGATTCTCAATTCAAAAGTATTACCCAGTTAGAGTTTCCACAATCTAATGACCACCATTACTTTTCCTCACTTACAACTGTGCAAAAGTTTCTCTAGATAACATCAAAGAAAGCACATTTTTAAATTTTTGGCCACATAGTTTAAATTTAGCTTTCTTTCTCTGTATGTATCTGGCACAAATCATCTTTTTCTAACTTTCACAAGCAAGCTCAGGTCCAAGAGACAAAAATTAGCTACAATAAGTCCTTAAAAGCCCCTGGCAGTCTTTAAAATGTGACAGCTCTCAGTTTGATTCTATGTACTTTACATCTTAGGGATCAGATATCTCATTTCAGAATTTAGATACCTTCAGAAATATCCAGTTCCTGCAAGGAACGGATTAAGACACTTTCCGTATATAATGCTACCCAAGCCACTTCTGTTGACTCGCCGGACTTATTTGCTTTTGACTTAATTCTCCTTCCAACCTGCACTTTCTACAAAGCAGTGGAAGAGGCAGACTAGCATTGTCTTCTACTTGCAAAAGCCCATTACTCGCCTTTGCTTAATCTGTTCTTCTCAGAAAGGTCCCATTTCCCTGCCCAAGGCAACTAAACCTAGAGCAGACTTCTACCCTCACTGAAATGCCCAAGAGAATGGCAGTTTTCTACATTGCCTCCTCAGAACCACTCCAAGGACCAGAGTTAAAACCATTCAAAAACAACACATAGCCAAGGAAAACATCTGGCCTTTGAAAAAAGAAACCTTCTCTTCTTCCCAATGCAAGCTTGAGGTTTAGATTCTCTACACTGTCCCGCTCCCACAAACTATCAGGTTTTATCCCATAAAACAATCACACTATATACATTGCTGTCTACATGCACCTGGAAGCAGAAAGATGAACTTTATCCATTTAATAGGATCACCACTCTCAGATAATCATAATGCAATACAGAATAATAGATAGACATTACCTTTGTAACTGTAATTGTAAATTTGTAACTAGTTGTTTTGCCATTTATCAATATCTTTTCCACTTCCTCCTGAAACCAATCACTGTCAAGAAATTAAGTTTTCATTTGCCAGAAGTATGAAGATTAATGATTAACTCTAATTGGAAAAAGAAAAAGAAAACCCCAAGAAAAACATTTTTTCAAGTATTAGGATGCTGCCATGGAAGAACTTAGATAGCCAGCAAAACAAACAAGGTGACTAAACAACTACAAAAGAAATATTATCCTCCTAAAATACTGTGTTTAGCGGCAAAAGCTGGTGATTCAAACTTTTGAACCTGAAATGTAGAGAAAATACCAAACAAAATTAGGACAAATTTAGGTACTGATGTAAAGTATTTCAAGGAAAAAAAAATCATAACAAACTTGCATCAAACTACAATATAACCAAATTCAAATATTCAAATTTCTCAACAGCTGATATTCTTAATCTATTTCAAAAAGAAAAATATGTAGAAAATTACTTGAAACTTCACAACATTTGCGTATTGAGCTAACACATTCCTAACAGTGTTTACAGACTCATCTTTACAAGTAAGTGGATAAAGCATTAATCCTGTGCATTTAAAAACATTAGCTAGGAATCATCGATTTCCAAGTAGTTTGGTAATAGTGAAATATACTTGTCTTCACAGCATTGCCTTTGTTTTCCATTTTTCTCTGTTGTTTTCTTGCTGCCTTCCACAGCTGCGYGCACGCCTGCACGTAACTGCCATGTGCATATGCAAGGCTCCAGGCCTTCACAAGTCTTGGTGAAATACTTAAAACCAGTGCTCTGTATAACACTTATCAAACAGCTTCCCACCATACCTAAACTGCAATAATATGTTAAAAATAAATAAATAAATACACATTTCATCAGCTGAAAGGATATGGTCGATAAATGTTTTATTCAAAATAAAAACTAAACAAACGAATAAGTTTATACCGGAGCCCAATCATAGCCCCATTCTGAAAGTGCAGTACTCACAACAGAATCAATTCCTTTCTCTGAAAGCCCATAAAAAGTAGTCCACTTGACCCATATTTGTATGAAAACATTTTACAGAAAGGTTATTTTGCTGGAACAAAATAGTGAGATGTTAATCTAGTTTCAATATTAACAAATTATCTCATCCAGTTAGCTTTAAAATTAACTGTCCTAGTATTTCTATACATATAAATATGTCAGGTGTTTATTTTGAACTACCGTGGGTTTTCTCCTTTCTCTCCACTACTGATATTTTGCTGCTATAGTAACCAAATGCAATAGATGAAATAAGATGGTCTCTCTCTCTCCCTCTTCCTAAAGATAATGCACAGATTTGTCAGTTGCATAAAAATGGACAAAACCAAGAAGACGATGTTTATTAAACCATATACATATTCAGATAGTTATATTTATGCTTAAAAATTCAAGTACTATCATCTCACTTGTGAAGACAATACCACAGCTAATATATTTTAAAGCTTCTATATACACAGCTACCACCATTAAGCAACAGTTTCAATTAGAAGTGTCGCTATCAAGGCTATTTAAGCACCTTTTCCTTCCTGCCCACACAATTAAGGATCGCCACTTCAAGAAAGATACCAGAAACGGAATCTGAACATTACATATAATTTACTATAAACAATTCTGTAACACAAGATTTTCCATAGAAATGCACATTTGTTGCGGTGGGTATGCAAGTTTTAGATRTAACACCTCCTTAGCAGCCACACAGCTCCCAAAACAAGGCTACTCAAAAGAGTAGACTGACACMGTAAGAGGTCACAGCTTCTAATCTTAGAAATTCAAATGAAAAGTGAGGATTTCGACAGTGGTCTTGGAAATTATGAATCAATTGGAAAATAAGGATTTATCAATTGTTTTTTTCTCAAAACAAAAATCTAAATAAACCTTGATGAGAAACAGAAACTGCAAAAGGATCAAAAGATAGATAATTTAACATCACAGGTAAGAGCAATACTCTCTATCCTTCCATTACAGTAGACTTAAGGAAACTGATTTTGGCTCAAAAACACAGGATTAATGTGATACTGTATAAAAGGAGAAATGACTTGGGAAAGAGCCCAATGCCTTGGGAAAGATACAGCCTTGGCCGCTAGAGCAGGAATCCAATTCTCATTCTGTCAAGTGAGACAACAGCTTCTGGTTCATGCCTGACTCAAAATCAAGCTAAGATTCAGTGACATCATTTTCCCAATCTTCTTTTCAAATCTTATTTGCTAGAACTTCTCAGATCAGAAAAGACCAGAGCAATCTATACATTTATTATCTTCAGATCACTATAAATTACTTTTCTGATGTTAAATGTGATCTTTTAAAAGATACGCTTGCTGCAGCCTGAACAAGCTTTGCCTTAAGTCTCCCCAACAGCTCCCAGTCATCTTCGGGTAACAATTCCAGACTTTGGCCCTAATCTTAAAGTCAGCCTACAAGTACTAAATCAAGTCACTACAATATTAAAGATCAAGTTCCTGTTTATGAACCTTACATACACTTCAAGAGTGCTGCTACCACAGATGAGATTCTTGAGGTGTAAGAAAAATGTGCTCTTGGTCAAAAAGATCGCACAACGCAAAAGTTTCTAGAGATTATGGAGTCCAGAAACTATGTCTAGAATTGAAGAGACTCTTCCTAATTGTAAAAGCAATTTTATCATGAGATGCAATATATGCTACATGACCTTCAAGCCTGATTCCAAATAAATCCTTGATGTCTGACACCCTGCAGGATCAGCCCATTGCTCTTCCAGCTCACGCTGGTTCTCAACACAGGGGTTAACCCAGGCTCAACTCTTAAATTTGCATCGAGCTTAATAATCACTTTTTAAAAGCAATACTACTTTAAATTAAATTCAAAAAATAATAATCAAATGTCAAATAATATGAAACACAAAGTGTTCAAAAGAGCAAAAGCAGCTTTACAAATCACCACATCCAGGCTACTACAATACAGTACCAGGAACAAATTAAGGGGTGGTGTGGATGATGATGATAGTAGATCCTTACAGTGGAAGATGAGGTGACCCAAACCAAGAGCAAATACTTACCTACTTATACACACTTTGAACACATGCATTTAACTTTTTTTCATCAGTCAAGATGAAATACACTGGAAGCTAGTGTCTCTTAGTTTATTTTTCCAGAATGGATTTAAATCAAAGAATGAGAATTTTGAATAAATACCAGCCAAGAAGTATCTAACATAGAACATCTGAAGCATAAAAAGCTCAAGGGATTACAATGGAAGCTGGTAACACTTTATATAATTCAGTTTCAATATAAACCTTTTAGCTTCCTTTAAGGCCAGGACTTTTCTGTTGTCTACATTCACGTTCCTCTAAAGCTTAAGCCATCAAAGAATCTCTCTCTTCCCCTCCCCGTTTTAATCTGGCAAAGATTTCAATTCTAGATCTTCTATGGAGCATTGCTAGTATCAGAAATACACTTTCATAATGAGAATATATCAATCATTTTTATGGTATTTTTGCCATAACACCGGAAGAATTGTTGAAGTATAAACCTACGTTAAAATGCTACTGTTTTAAATCTCCTTATGTGGTTATAAAACTACTTACTCGTCTCGCAAAATAAATTCAATATTTTCTGGAGAAACCTGTCCTGTCACAGGATGTCTAAATGATGTGGTCTGCTGATTATGGCTGAAATGAGAAAAAAAAAAAAGTAGTTATTATTAAATGCTAAACTGTAGAACATATCCACGACCCCTAAGAGGCAGGTCTGCTTTTACCAAGGTTTTACTGATGCTACGTCCAGAGATAAAACAGTTCTTTGGTACCTTTCAAGTTAGAAAATTTCAGCTCCTCCTTGCATTCTTGTTGAACATGCCACTGCACTCTTTAATTATTAACCGGGTTAATGTTTTTGAAACAAACTAGTTGTAATCCTTGCTTCAAGAGAGACACTGGAATTTCTGACTCCCACTGCTATATTATTTAAATGCTAGCAAAGAAATTGCATCATGTAAATTACTGTCTTATATTTCTATAAATTTCATGGAATTGAAGCAGCAAAATCATGCAGAATGCTGCTGGGCCATGTTCATGTATTACAACTATATTCCAAAAACAAAGTCAGTAATATGAATTATTAAATGTTTTTTATTTTCAAGAGCCCAAAACACACACACCATCCACCACCTTTGTTGTGAAGAAGATTTGAGTCTTTTCCTCCCATGATGCCCAGTCATTTCAAGCCCTCCGGAACAGACCCAGGTATCTATCATTGCGAGACACCTCCCAGAAACAAAACGCAGCATACACACACATTTTGGGTCTTCGAAATAACAAGTTCTCAAAAAGATAAAAACCCTTCTGTAGAATTTAAAGCTTAAAATCAAAACAAAATCAAAGAAAACAGTGCCCCTTCTTCCCATTCCCTCGCCTTCTCCCCCCAAATCAACAGAACATATAGCCTTATAACATTCAAATATAAGTAGCACAGGACATGCTTTGATAAGGAAGAAGTGGTCAAGAGTCTTTTCTTGCCCATCACTGAAGTCTCACTGAGACTAGGAACCGAAGCGGSGCATAGGCTGCTGCTTACGCTGCACCTTCTCATGTCTTTTCCGATGTACCTTGCTACAGGAAGGTCTATGGCAGCCACCACCACTGGAAAGTTTCCAGTGATACAACGAGAGCTGGGACAATTAACATTACCCCGAAAGCACTTTCTCCAGACTTATCTATTACAGCAATTCCAGCCTTACAGCCCCAAACAGCTGTGACCAGCCCATTAAGCCGTCAGCGGCCCCATTGCATTAGTGGCAGTGCTCATCTCCTGGCCCCCTGAGCACCGGCCTCTAACTGGGCAAGGGGTTCATGAAGAACATTTTCAGCTTCCAAATTCCCCAGTTCCCCATGAAGTCAGAGATGGGGAGAAAAGATTGAGTGTAACCCTGCAGTGTTACATAAAGCAACCGTGATCTTTTTCTCCTAAATGTACTGAGGAATACTGTCCACACACAGAAATACAGTCACACAGTCCAAGCAGCTTCAATCTAAAAATATTTCCTTCCAAATGAGGACTGCAGCACCTTTGCTACTACCTAGGCTAGAACTACTGAAAAAAACAAGGGCTATTGTACCATTGCACTTATGCCACATAGAAAGCACTAGCACTTTTTACAAATCTGAGGTTATTTTCTATGATCAAGCCTACATCTTCAGAAGATTTGTTACTACTTTCAGKAGAATTACAGAGTAGGACATTTTTCTACTTTGAACCACACGAGCAGGGAAACCAAAGCCTAAATACCTTGCTATATACAATGAATATACCCATTTCACAGACAAGGAGAACACACATACAAGAACAACATTCGAAGTCACTAGAGAGTGACAAGTGCCCTATAATCGTGCAAACTTCATCTCTCCAGGCATCAGGTTAAAGAATAAACGGGGCATTGGCATCACACTCCATTTCCTTACAGTAAGGAGCATAAATTAATGTATTCTTTTAGATTAGTTCTTCAGAGCTTTGAGTTACATAAATTCTAGTTACTTTCTTTCCAAAGAGAGTCAGCACTTACAGAGAATAAACAGGGTGAGATGCAAAAGCCACCACCTCAGAGTCAGCTCCAGAGCCAGCCCCCGTGGAGCCCCTTCATGGGTAGCACACACGAAGAGCACTGTGCTTGCAAGAACCTCTCATTGTGAAGGAGAACCCTCACCTGCTCAAAAGCATTATACCTGCCACTGCCATTAAAATAGTTTCCAAAAGTCACAAAAAGTGGTATTTCCACTGTCAGGACTAGATCTTAAAAATAGTAACAGTAATAATGCATTCATTCCAATATTCAGTATAGTATTATGAGTCACCAAGCATCAAACACAGCCTTTTTACACCATATGAAATGATTCTGAGATCAAAGCTATAAAGCTGATAAAATTTTACTAAAAAGTATGGGTTTTATGCAAATATTTCCATCATAGGGTTACCCAGGCATGATCCCACTGTGTAGTGAGATACATAGAACAATCAAAAGTTTAAAATTACCTGCAATAAAAATTTGGGAATTAGAAGTGTAAGACACATTTAAAAAAAATTCTGGGAGTGGGACAGTGGGAGGAGACTACATAATGCCATATGCTTAAAAATGCTACAGTAATTTCTCTGCTTGGTTGACTTGAGGCCATTGAGCATTTTTGCATGTCCATGAAAATATTTCTCCATAGGTTTTTTCTTGACAAGGTTTGATTAAAGTCCTTGGCCACTGACTTAGTTGCAACAATTCTTTCTTTATGCTGCAGTTATTTTTTAAAGAGACATTTTCTGGATAATTTCATAAACTGTAAACATAATCACACTAATATGCCTATAGAATTAGACCAAAGCATCCTCTTTGGCATCTATACGAGGAAAAATATGGTAAATACATCTACGTACACTCTTAATAGATAAGATTTCTTACAACCAAAAAAAAGACATCAAGAATTTCAGTATACTGAACACTTTGGAACTCCTGATTTTTTTCTGCTTTTAGTACTCATTTAACTCAATGCAGAAACCCCAGGGCAAGAAACCCAGCCAAAGGACTGAGTTTGAAGAAAGAGCAGGCAATTATTTTCAGTCATCTAGTATCTCCTCCCCAACCCACAAAGGCTCTGTAATCACAGTTCATCAAATCACAACATGACCCATGAGAATGGGTTAATAGCAATGCACATTACTAGCATAAATGACACTATTTTTAGTGCATTAAATATCTGAGTGAACAATTCAGATCTATCAAATTTATGAAAGCTCTCACACAATCATGTTGTGTGCAGTTTCTTGATTCAACAATCATATTGCACCAGCAAAAGGCACAAATTTATGTGGGACACTTTGGCACAAATTTATTTGGGACAATTTGGCACAAATTATAAAGCTGCATAAAATACGAGCAGACAGCTATGAGAAGAGAGGCAGTAGCAACAGTCATGGAAGAAGTATTTGCACTTTTTAGTGCCACTGAACAGACATATTCATGGTGCCCACACAGCCATCTCAGAATGAGCTGGTGGAAGACAAAGCTGATGACAGTAGGAAGATCTAGTGTCTAAGAAGAATAGCAGAGGGAAYATGCAAGAGAAACATTTTCACACTCAGTCTGACACATCACTTGAGCTAGCAAATGCATTTTTAAAGCTACTTTTCTGGTTCTGTACATGGTGATTTTAAGCTTTCACTTACATAAACAAACATCGACATGCACTGCTGGATAGCATACAGTCATGTTTGTGGACAGTGTGCATCTTTGAAATCAGCTCTGAACTAGACTGTATTAAGCTACATTATCTGATTAAGAAAGATGAAAATGTCTTTCCTGCAGCACATGAGAAGTGCTATTATTCTTCAAAGTAACTTAGGGTGAAGTTACTCCCATCTTTCACAGTGAGCCTGGAAATCAAAGCTCAGACATCCAACACATGAATTGGCAGAAGAGGCAAGGTCAGGCTCCCTAACTTTGGCTCAGAAAACAAGACTGCAGCAAAATCCAGCCAGAAGACAGCTCCTGCTACCCCACTATATATAGTGGAACTATCAGCTGCATTCCTCCTATGCCACTTGAGCAGGTTGCTGTCCCTCCGTCTGGATCTCATCGTGTGGCTCTGCTGGCCGACAGCCCCCGCTAGAGCACTCGATTCTTGGCATCATGAAGCTGCTGCAGATAAAGCCTCCAAGAGTACAAGGGCACTGCTGGGCRCCTGCTTTATCTCCAGTACGAAAGAAATGTGCCCTTAAATAAGACCTTGCCCACAGAGTCCAAGCATGACCACTTCTTTGAATGAGGCCTCTCTTACCTCTRCAACACAAGGACTAGCTCCCTGCTGTCTCCCCAGCCCAGGCAGCAAGCKGGGGGGACACAGCAGCGCCAGGCCTGCGCGCTTGGGGAGTGTTGCAGGCCACATATCATGGCGTGCGGCTGGTTCTTCTGCGGTGGGACAGTGTGCAGGCAGCAGCGYGGCCGCAGGGAGAGAATTGGGCGGCACACAAGCTCCCACGCTGCTGGTGGGGCCTGCGGCGAGGGCACGCAGCACTGGGCAGGATTACAGAGATTGAAAGAAATGCCAAAACTTTTTCAGCTCCTGTGTTAACTCCTTTCAGTGCCAAACAAGTCTCTACTAAGCACATGACTGAAACTTGGCAGCTCTTAAAGTGAAGTAACTGCACATGAAATAATATTTGTTCTTTACATAATTATTTAACAACAGATACAATTAGAGAATGCCCCAGAAAAATGTATTTCCAACTTACAGAAAGCTTTGTAATCTTTTCAGAATGTAGGTATTAAGTAATCCTTCATCATCTTTGTGAATTAGAGGGATAGTTTTCCCTTCTGGTGGATTACAGTTGAAAGTAATGTGCTTGAAAATCACTTAAGTGAGCAAAGCTGGAAGTATGAGCAAGACACTCCAAAGTAGGTTCAGTCCAGTAGTGTAGTACTAGTGTTCTTACTAAATACTAGTTTTAAAAAATTCCCAAAAGAAAAAAAAGAAAAAAAAAGCACCTTTACAAGCTTTCAGTTACATTTGGTATTTATAGAAAACACAGTGTTATTTAACTGAATTATTAGGGAATAATCTAGCACTGTAATTATTTCTAAAAGAGATGCAATGTACTCTTTAGATACTGAATATCAAATAACCAGTCAAAT